TTTAGACCAGCAGACGTGAAGCGTGAGCTAAATGTTACAAAATGGTTTAAAACTACAACTCCATTATCAAAAGAAGACCAGCAAGCCCCACAGCTTAAAATGGTTGACACTCTACAAGACCAAGAAGCGTGAAGCTGAAGCTACACGTTACAAAATGGTTAGACTAGAAAGACCAGAAAACGTGAGACGTTAGTCCACACGTTTGAAATGGAGAAACTCTGAAACTCTCAACCTCTACACGAGGTGAAGAAGAAGACAATGCACTAGATCTTATCATCTCAGTCTGCAGCTGGCATGTATAGTCGTCTAGAGAACTTTCACTAAAGACACGAGTTGGAAAGGACAATTCCTCTCCGACAACCGCTGGTACATCTGAAGTATCCATTCTAACCAGCACTACGACCAGAAACTCTACCAAGGACATTGGGATCTCTGGTGGGCAAACCAGAGTCCTACATCATCAACTCAACTATCGAGGACAGCTACACGTAAATACATGTTGCATTTTTAATCCGAATGAGCGTTATTAGGGTGCATAAGTATTATGATTACTGTGAGCATAGTCTCCAAATTAACCACGATAGTTTGAATCTCTCTCTCCCTTCCACTCTGTCCCTCCTTCTACCCAAGCATTCATGCTATTGTTAGTCCACTAGGGACCTGTTTTCATTGTATTATGTTAGTAATCAATAACCTATGTGTTTTTGTATTGTGTTGTTATTTAGTTAGTTAGTAAATAAATAATTAAGCCCATTTTTGTATTGCTGATTCATCAATAAGGTTAGGGTTCTTGCAGGTACAAGGATTATGAGACGTTCAGAATGAGACTGATAAGAGGTAATTATTTAATAAGTGACTTACCGATATATATAACATATATCTTCTAAGAGTTTAATAGGGAGATGGTAACTCGTTAAACAACTTCTTCCGTGGTGCCCCAAATTCCTAATGAGTTAATTGTTACATGATTAATTTAATCGAGTGACAATTAAACATAGTTAGGTGATTCGATAAATAACAGTCATACATTAAAGTAAGTCACGTCACGAGACCTCCCATATTGTGCCAATGTGGTCTGGGATTTCAGAGAATAATGCAGTAGTTGAAGGAAGCCACTGAAGCGGAGCGTTAAAAGCCTCTTGTCAGGATCAAAGTGAAATGACTCAGGTGTGTCCCTGAAATACCTTGTTGTCTTTAAAAGGGTCTGTAACCTGGAGCTCGGGCCTGATGATGACTCTCCTCCGGGCAGATCCATCCTCTAGTCTACACCATCCAATAGTGGGCTGAGAGAGGCTCTGAACTCTGACTCACGTCCTCATTGTGTCAGTCTGAATCTCACACACGCTCCCGGTGATGGGCTGAGTGGAGCATTCGGCTGTCTCGACCCAAACCCACAGAGGCAGAGCCAGGAATAACTGCAGAAACCACTGTTGACTGTATGTGTCTGCTTTGTTTTACAATCACATGGTCCAAACGTTCAGGTCTTCATCCAATCTATAGGATAATGAAATTGACAGTTCATTGGCACTTTGTCAAAATCCAGAGAGGGACTGAGCCTTTTCGCTCATCCTTTCACTTAGCATCATCGTGCTATTTATGAATTATTCTATTTTTGAAATTCACATGTAGATAGTATATTGTGTAGGGCCCCTGTAGCCACTCAAGACTGTGTAGTGGTGGATTCTTGTTTTTCAGTGACATACAAGTGTGATTTGGATTAGGAGATTCATATGCACAGTAATGCTGAAGTAAGTTATTTGCATCAATGAGTGACTTTGAGATGGGGTGCTTCAGTAGCGCTTTGTAATTATTTATCTACTTAGATATTGTTTATCCAATTTCATGGAAAATTGTCTTACTTTCACTACATGGTGTTTTGGAAAGAGGCTTTCAGACAACAAAGGCCTAGTAAGGAGGAGCACTTAGTGAAAGTTTGCCGCCAGCTTCAGTTCAATTCTTTGTTGCCATGGGATTCGAAATATGGGACTACAGTGGGGAGAACAAGTATTTGATACACTGCCGATTTTGCAGGTTTTCCTACTTACAAAGCATGTAGAGGTCTGTAATTTTTATCATAGGTACACTTTAACTGTGAGAGACGAAATCTAAAACAAAAATCCAGAAAATCACACTGTATGATTTTTAAGTAATTAATTTGCATTTTATTGCATGACATAAGTATTTGATCACCTACCAACCAGTAAGAATTCCGGCTCTCATAGACCTGTTAGTTTTTCTTTAAGAAGCCCTCCTGTTCTCCACTCATTACCTGTATTAACTGCACCTGTTTGAACTCGTTACCTGTATAAAAGACACCTGTCCACACACTCAATCAAACAGACTCCAACCTCTCCACAATGGCCAAGACCAGAGAGCTGTGTAAGGACATCAGGGATAAAATTGTAGCCCTGCACAAGGCTGGGATGGGCTACAGGACAATAGGCAAGCAGCTTGGTGAGAAGGCAACAACTGTTGGCGCAATTATTAGAAAATTGAAGAAGTTCAAGATGACGGTCAATCATCCTCAGTCTGGGGCTCCATGCAAGATCTCACCTCGTGGGGCATCAATGATCATGAGGAAGGTGAGGGATCAGCCCAGAACTACACGGCAGGACCTGGTCAATGACCTGAAGAGAGCTGGGACCACAGTCTCAAAGAAAAACATTAGTAACACACTACGCCGTCATGGATTAAAATCCTGCAGCGCACGCAAGGTCCCCCTGCTCAAGCCAGCGCATGTCCAGGCCCGTCTGAAGTTTGCCAATGACCATCTGGATGATCCAGAGGAGGAATGGGAGAAGGTAATGTGGTCTGATGAGACAAAAATATAGCTTTTTGGTCTAAACTCCACTCGCCGTGTTTGGAGGAAGAAGAAGGATGAGTACAACCCCAAGAACACCATCCCAACCGTGAAGCATGGAGGTGGAAACATCATTCTTTGGGGATGCTTTTCTGCAAAGGGGACAGGACGACTGCACCATATTGAGGGGAGGATGGATGGGGCCATGTATCGCGAGATCTTGGCCAATAACCTCCTTCCCTCAGTAAGAGCATTGAAGATGAGTCGTGGCTGGGTCTTCCAGCATGACAACGAACCGAAACACACAGCCAGGGCTCCGTAAGAAGCATCTCAAGGTCCTGGAGTGGCCTAGCCAGTCTCCAGACCTGAACCCAATAGAAAATCTTTGGAGGGAGCTGAAAGTCCGTATTGCCCAGCGACAGCCCCGAAACCTGAAGGATCTGGAGAAGGTCTGTATGGAGGAGTGGGCCAAAATCCCTGCTGCAGTGTGTGCAAACCTGGTCAAGACCTACAGGAAACGTATAATCTCTGTAATTGCAGACAAAGGTTTCTGTACCAAATATTAAGTTCTGCTTTTCTGATGTATCAGATACTTATGTCATGCAATAAAATGCAAATTAATTACTTAAAAATCATACAGTGTGATTTTCTGGATTTTTGTTTTAGATTTCGTCTCTCACAGTTAAAGTGTACCTATGATAAAAATTACAGACCTCTACATGCTTTGTAAGTAGGAAAACCTGCAAAATCGGCAGTGTATCAAATACTTGTTCTCCCCACTGTATATCTCTAGCTACTTTGCTCTTTTTTAAAGAAATAACTTAATGGCGATCTAGCTTTTTATTCAACCGTATCAGAGCAGGACTTAGGCTACTGCATAGTCATTCAATTTTGCAAATAAGTCATGCTGCCATTTGAAACCCAACCTATCGAAATGGCACAGCACAGTTACCCTTTCCCGTTCCAAATCCTTTATTTTCTTGATCAATTAGTGTAATAGCCTCTCATATGAAGAAACAGTGTATGAAAAGAGTAGGCTAGTGAGAATTCCTCTTGCAGTATATGCCTACAGTGGTGGCAAAAAAAGCTTGCAATCAGGAGAAAAAAAGAAAGCACCTTTGTGACCTGTCATCGATCTCTATAAAAGTCAAGGTGTGTGAATCTGTTTTTATGTCCCAACACACAGCTAAATGGGCTGGTGGTGAGAGAGCACAAGGTTGCTGTCTCTATTGGGCTATTATTGGGCTACTATCTATGTAGCCTAATTGCTTAGTAATAAAAAGGTATTGATCAAGTCACATAAGCTAAAATATTTCCTACTACTGGATGCTGAAAAATAGTACTCACAGTAGAATAAGATATTCCCTAGGGTTGTGTGAGAAGGTTTCAGACTTTCAAACAAACCTTCACGTATGCCTAGAGTCAAAACCCATGTGACCCTTGCTGACACGCAGGTAATATTAGTGATGGCAATGTCAATTGCAGCACTATACAAGGTTATTTTATATCGCTACATCTCCACCCCAGTTATCTTCCCGCCCACCACCTCCTTATTAAAGCGGATTAAAAAGCGCTGTTGTCAGCTCGCCTGCCGTGATACGCTGTGACTCTGTGTTGCCTGGGGGGAAGACAGCCAGCACTCAAAGTTTAATCTGTCAGCCTCCCAGTCAGAGCATGGCTAACATCAGTAGGTGTCTTATCTATAATGCATTCCTACAGGGGAGTCGGTCCACCATTTGGTTAGGGGGTGTGACACCTATGCTTACTGCTGTTTAAACATGAATGGGCCCTCTGTGACTGAGTCTAAATGCCAGGTTTAGCCTCATGGGGAGAGTGTCCTCTGACTCCTCACTGTGTTGATATCAGGCTGAGAGATATTCTAGTGTGAAGAGCACAGACGCATGATGACACCAATCTGAGATAACTGGGCCCTCCAGTAACAGTAAACACAGACAACTTGTTAAGAAGTTTCCTATGAAGTTGTGAAGGTCGTACAGAGAGTTTGTTCTCCAGTTTGAGACACGCAGAGCTCAGCTGTTGAAAATCCACTTGACTTACACACAGAGTACACAGCTCCATAGGGCTGATAACACTGTATAAACTGTAACCCCCTGACAAACTGCTTTTATTCAGTCTACTGCTGAAATGTGAACCATAGCCTACACATTATTCCATCCTCTCACCTTTTCAAATGAACTTAATGCCAGTGTTGCCCAATGGAGGGAAGATGGTGAGTCAGAGCATTCATTAACATTTTGGATGTAGTTATTTTTCCCACCCTTCCCCCTCTCTCCCTCTGTAGTGTTTTCTCTGGGGTGATGTAAAGGAGATGGGATGTTGCTGATTAGCCTAAATCCTGTGCTGAGTCAGCTGCTTTATAACTCGCAGCCCTCTGCCCTTCTGTTCCGTCAGCACCTCCTGCTTTGTTTTGGCTCTCTTCCTCTGCTAGCAGCAAATTGACATGAATCAACCTGCTATCTGATGTACTTATGTATGTACACATCAATCTTTCTTGGTGGTCAGTCACCAACAGTGAACCCTATGTAGTTTAGCTGTCTGAGGTTGGCCTACTCTACTCTACTGTGTTTCTATGGTCTGTAGTTTTAGTCTGGCCTGTCTCGTAGATTTCAGAGAAAAGATAGTCATGTTTTTGATGAGCTGATACATCTCAACATTAAGTTTCCTTTATAGCTTTGTATATCTCTTTTGTCTGCTATTTCACCCACTTACTCCCTATTACCTTGTAGCAGTGCATTGTAAGGCTGCTTCGTATCTGTGGAGGAATGGGAGGTCTGGAGGACTGTGTTCGGATAAGTTGTTGAGCAGACCATGGCTTCAAGGACACAGAAAAATAAACTGTTTTTCCTTTGTTCTGTGGTGCAGTCTTTTGCATCTCCGGTATAGGCCTAAGCGTCAGTGAAGTGAAACCTATGTGCTGAGAGTGGAAGTGCAATAGTCAATTAATTGAATAAAGTGAATAAAACTCCTGCAATTAACTCCATAAAATAGTATGCTTTCTCAATGTTCTGCAGGGATTTTTTGTAAACAAAAAATATTGTTCTGATCGTGAATGAAATTGATAATGCCTCATTTCATGTGATTTTACAAATGTTCTGAAACGAATAGTTGTATTTTCAGAATGCAATTAGCAGCAGAGTGGAAGCCTAATGGTGTGTATAATTAATCTGTTTCTTTCTTGTAAGCATTTTCCCATCCTGGAGTCTGATACCTTGTGGGAATCTGTGGTAGAGAAGAATAATCTATGACAATTTAGCATAGACCCTAGTTATCATCATCATGAATTCTATAGTTTAGGCATTTAGCTAGCAAAGCATAGCTAGCTAGTTGTTGTGTTATCCAGCTAACAATAATAGTGCTTGTGTTGACACAGCTATCTCGTTAACTAACGTTAACATCCTGGGTGTGTCTCACGTAATACCCTTGGGGTATGGATACCCTGAGAACAAGGTTCAGGGAAGATAAGACCATCGACCCCAGCTAACGTTACTGTAGTTAGCTAGCTAGCGATTAGCGACCATAGCATATTTTCCAGCTTTAGGTAGCTAGCTAGTTAGTCAAGGTTAGGAAACTAGCTAGTTAGCTTGCAAGCTAATCCCCAAAAAACTACAGATTGCATGGAAAGTCTATTCTGTAGATGGTAACTAGCTAACTAGCCTAGTTGGTACCCCCAACAAAAATGCCAGCTAGCGTTTACTAGGCTAGCTAACTACCTATGCTAAATCGTCCAGCAGAATTAATGTATCCAATAAAGAAAAACAAATTGCATGGAAAACATACTTTCTCTCTCCTGTATTGACTTTTTTGACCTACAACACTGTTTCTTTCGCGGCAATCTTTCATGTCTGGATTTTGCACACTGACTTTGACCTTGTTCTTTGCACACTGTTACATGATGTCAGAGTGGTAGCCTAATGGTGTATATAATTCATCACAGGGAGTTATCACTCCCACCATCCTGATAATGGGTAGAAAAATGAAAGCTTTATCTACAACAGCAGGCCAAACTTCTCTCATAGTAATGTGTTATATTAATTCCATAAAGTTACTAATCATTTTAGTAGATGGAATAAATCATTTTAGTAGATGGAATAAATTGCTGACTGTCTCTTCAGGATAGGACTTGGGATCCCATTATAGTGAATGTCATTAACGCTAAAATAATCTTGAAGTAAATTTGGATGTGATCCTAAGTTTTGTAATCAAAAAGGTAGGCCTAAATTAGAATTACGAAAAGTAAACATGTGCCCTGGGAAATTATCTGTCAGCATTTTCACCTCAATATAGGCCTATCTGCGATATCTCAAGGCGGGATGTAACCTCAACACTGCCACTGTGCCACATCAACCTATTGATGCTGCATTTCTTAATTTAAGCTTTTGTTGAAACAATTACTACTTGTGCTGTCACATCATTTGAGTATTCAGCAGTTTACAGTCTCTTTTCTTCAATTGACAATAAGTTACACAACATCATCAATGAACTTGGGCAAGTGGGGGAGGAATGTTATCTAAATGTGCAAACAATAATCAGAGCAATTGATGAGTTGAATGAGTTGAATGAAATCTATTTGTATGTGTTCTTGTGTTCCAGTACACTCGGGTGTGGATCCCAGACCCAGAGGATGTGTGGAAAGCTGCAGAGATCATCAAAGACTACACAGAGGGAGAGCCCATCCTGCACCTCAAACTTGAAGATGAATCGGTAATATACCACCCACTGGATCAGGCCACAGTTATTAGATCCATATTATTTTTTGGAGAATATAGCCCTTGCCTAAAGACTCAATATGCTTTGGTCTATTTTGCTGTGCTGTTGTACATTTAGCATTTTACATCATGCTGTATTGAAGCAGTTAATGTGTGTGGGCGCCCATGCACATTCATAAACTTTGGTGCCATAAATCATTAATCATGTTTTTGAAGGGAAAACTGCAAGCTCTGAGAGTAAAATATACAGCTATTAAATTACAATGCACTATGCCAAGAGTAGTTTGAATATTTCAGCATATGATGAGATTATCATATCACCTTATGTAGCAGCAGTATATTGCTGTACATACCTACTCACCCTATTTAATACTCCCTGCAGGGTGGGATTGTCAGGTATGATTCATACACACCTAGATGCCATCATATCCATATCCTTTAACATATAAAAATGCTTATTTCTCTTCTCAATAAGCTGTGTGGATTGTAATATTTGTACTATTCTTATGGACGGTGCTGCAATATGATTTAAACTGATAAAGGGAAAAGGGTCTTACCCTTAAAACAGGTACACATGTGCAAACACTTGGCTTTAATTATTTTTTTGTGACATTTTTGCTTGAACAACTTCTCCTGTTCCAGCCGTTGGAATACCGCATTGGACCCAAAGACAACGCTCTTCCCTTCCTCCGGAACCCTGATATCCTGGTGGGGGAGAATGACCTCACAGCCCTCAGCTACCTGCACGAGCCTGCTGTCCTGCACAACCTCAAAGTGCGCTTTACCGAGTCCAATCACATCTACACATACTGTGGTGAGTCTCTATAACACATCTCTAAACAGGCTACATATGATGGGGTGAATCTATCCAAGTTTATATCTCTTCAAATCTTATCTTGCCATCTATTGCTCTGGTTTATACAGTGCCAACTAACATCAATTAGATTTGTCCAATGTGGCTTGTGTTGCTTCTCTTCCAAAAGCCCTTGGCCTGACCTTTTGCTACAAAGTCCTCCATGTTTACTAGTGTAGCTGGTCTATTATACACCATGTAGGGTTGAGGCTTTTATTGACCTTACTGGTTGTCTTGTCCCAACTTTTACAAACCTGTCCTCCCAATCCCCAATCAGCTAGGGTTCCATTGACTAAAGCAACCAATGATTGCGCTGTAGCCATGTGTGGAATTCATCCTAAACAAAGCAGACAAAAGGAAATTAGTATTCACTGGCCATAGATATCACTAGCATGTTTTATTAGGGAGATCTTTCCCCATAATATCAATGTGTTTTTAATTACAATAGTATGTTGTACTGTACGTACAGTATGATAGGATTAACTAAATAAGAAGAATAGTTTGTCTGTTGTCACAGGACAAACAGAGATTTGTCTTTTTGCTTTATCCCAACCCCCAAAGACACGCAAATACACACACACACATGGATATATGAGATATATTACTAAATATAGGTTTAAGTTACTACCGGTTACAGTATCACTGTGAGTTATAGTGATTTTAGAGAGTTGATCATTTTAGTTGACTGGCTATACTATTCTCTCTATTCTCCCTTCCCTCACTCCATCCCTCCTCCATAGGCATTGTGCTGGTGGCCATCAACCCCTACGAGCAGCTGCAGATCTATGGAGAGGAGGTCATCAATGCCTACAGTGGGCAGAACATGGGAGACATGGACCCACACATCTTTGCTGTGGCAGAGGAGGCATACAAGCAGATGGCCAGGTACTGTATGAGCCTCTGGGTACAGCTAAATGGTTATAACACAGGATTGGGATACTGTTACTGTATCAGACCTGGTACAGTTGCCAATTTCATAAGCAAATTATATGTATTAGTCTGCTTTGGGAAGCTATTGAGTTGTTACTGTGTGGCACATAGCTGCATATCAAGCACTTGATTAGACTCCTAATTCAGTTTGATATGTAATTTGATCGTGTTGGTGTGGGACTGAGGGCCTAAATAAGCAGTTGAGACAGAGAGAGTGTCTTCAATGGAAGGTGTGGGTGGATAATAACAGTGCTCAGGTCCACATTAACTGTCACCCTCCTCAATGCTGTTTTCTCTGACAAGCAAAATACAATACCATGTCCACATTAAGCTGTAATCACTGCCTACGTAAATGCCCACTGCTGTATTGTCCTGGCAACTCCAGTCATGCAGAGTCGATTAGCATTGTAGGAGTGATCCATTGTATAACTGTAGTGTTATTGCAATATCTGATATGGTCCGATGGTCAGTTACCTTTTTAACTGTAAATAGCTTACAAAATGTCTCCAATGTCTTTCTCTCTCCCTTCTTCCTGTAGAGATGAGAGGAACCAATCCATCATAGTAAGTGGGGAGTCGGGGGCAGGGAAGACCGTCTCTGCTAAGTACGCCATGCGGTTCTTCGCCACTGTGGGAGGGTCGGCCAACGACACCAATGTGGAGGAGAAGGTGCTGGCCTCCAGCCCCATCATGGAGGTGAGGATGGACTGATCATCCCATACTGTAGACCAGCCCAGGCCAGCAATATGGCATACTAGTAAGGGAAATCGATGGCAAACGCAAAGTAGTCTAAATAATATATAAAGTTAGGTTGTCATGATCTCCCGAGTGGCGCAGCGGTCTAAGGCACTACAGACCCAGGTCACTACAGACCCGGGTTCGATCCTGGGCTGTGTCACAGCCGGCCGCGACCGGGAGACCCATGAGGAGCTGCACAATTGGCCCAGCGTCGTCTGGGTTAGGGGAGGGTTTGGCCGGCCGGGATGTCCTTGTCCCATCATGCTTTCGCGACTCCTTGTGGCCGGCCGGGCGCATGCGCGCTGACTTCGGTCGCCAGCTGTACAGCGTTTCCTCCGACACATTGGTGCAGCTGGCTTCCGGGTTAAGCGAGCAGTGTGTCAAGAAGCAGTGCGGCTTGGCAGGGTCGTGTTTCGGAGGGCATGGCTCTCGACCTTCGCCTCTCCCAAGGCCGTACGGGAGTTGCAGGATGGCACAACACTGTAACTACCAATTGGATACCACAAAAATAAATAAAAAATACACAAACGTTAGGTTGTCACTAGTTACCAAAGTCATAAACCCCGCCTATTTCTACAATTTATCTTCTTAAAATGTATTTTTAAACTTAACTCTAACCCTAACCACACTGCTAACCTTATGCCTAACCCTAACCTTAAATGAAGACCAAAAAACACATTTTTGTTTTCATGCATTTTTAGGATAATATTGCCAATGTTTGAAAACCGTCACTTTGTATGAGTTCATTTCACATTACTTTTGGGTTGTAATTCTATTATAATGCTCACATGAATGTCATGCTGAATATATGTTAATATCATTGTCACAAAAAAATTACTCAAATTTAGTTGCTAGTAGAATAACGTTACAATGCCAATATCATGTGTAAAACAGCTTTGGAACTAAACGTCCCTTACACTGCACTGCTTTTGTAGCACATTTTGCTTAGTTGTTTCGGTGGGCTGGCCCTAACCTGCTCTCTAAGCGAATTATTCCCATAGTTCGCTTCTGCAGACAGTTTTGTCAACAAGCTGCGGGCGTGGAGGTGTGATGTTTCTTTAGAAGAAGCCTTGCTGTCGGCATTTGCTGTCTCTCCTCTCGCTGGCTTATCGAAAGGGGTTCGTGCTGGGTCATCTGCAAGCGCAAGTAGCCTGGCTAGATACGGCTCCCCTGAGAAGATTCAGAAAAATGACTTGACAGACTCGGTCCTCTCAATTCGTATATAACGTGAGACACATTTGATAGAAGTACCGAAAGTAAAAAAAAAAAGTATAGTACCGAACCGTTTTTCATGTTCTAGTATCGAAAAAGTAGCGAAGTTTCGGTATAGCATGCAACACTATTAGGTGGGTTCTTGTCAAAATGTAATCGTGTTAACTTTCTCGGCACACAAAAAGTATAATGAACTCCACATCTTCAGCTGTAACTTTGTGGAGAGTTCAGGCTACACCAAACTATCATTTTGAAAACTGTAAGTGAAGAAGCAAGCACAGCAGGAGTCCATTACCCTCTCTCGCATTCTGAATCAGCAGAAACCTTTCTAAACAGCAAAGTCCCTCAGCCTGTGTGGAACGACAAGACCAGGAAAGGCTGCTAGCTAGAAAGATCTCAGTCTGTCCTTCAGGAAGTTCAGGAGAAGGGCAGTCAGACATCTCTGAGTCCATTACCAGCCTCACGTCAGCTAGATCAGTCAGGGTGAAGAAACCGAAACAGGACAGATCTGTATGCAAGGACAGTATGGCTCAAGCCCCATCTTGGCAGGTGTCACAGCTCAGAATTAGGAGCATTACGACTGTCAAGGTATATTACAAGCAGTAAGAAGACTAAAGGTTTTTTGTGTGGTATGAAGTACAATATGAGAGGATAGAAATATATATTTTACAGTGGTTATGATTTTCTTTTGATCTCTTTTAAAGATTTTATTTTGAAACTCTCACACTTCTTCTGCCCCCTGCTTCTCTTTACAGGCTATTGGAAATGCGAAAACCACTCGCAATGACAACAGCAGTCGTTTTGGGAAGTACATCCAGATTGGTTTTGACAGAAGTTATCACATCATTGGAGCCAACATGCGCACGTATCTGCTGGAGAAGTCAAGGGTAGTCTTTCAGGTACGTGTAACTCCATGCTCTTCAGTCTGGGAAGAAATGGATTAAGCCCTAACTTGACATATTTATTCCAGACAATCAAATATCATAATGAATTTATCTAAGTACTTTAAAGAAATGAATAGGCCTACAAGATTAAATTGCAGCGTGGGGGAACTCCTGATCTTACAAAACTACCCAAGTATTTCATTCACTCAAAATATATGATTGATAAACAGTTAGAGGCAGTGCAGGCAAAAATGTGACTTTCCTGTGTATTATATATATTTCCACACTATGAGGTTGAAATAATAGTGTGAAAATTATGATAATGCCCTTTTATTGTAAGAGCTGTTGGAAAAGACTGAAATGTCAGCTTGTTTTGCAAGGTTGCTGTTTTGGACTCCCTGGTGACATCACCAGGCAGTATAAGTTTTAATAGACCAATAACAAAGAGATTTTGCCCTCCTCTCTGCCAATAACAGCTAGTTTTTAGGTTATATGTCCCTCCCATTAGGCTCCTCCAATTAGGACCCTCACTCAGACTACTCCCAGACAGTCCTAGCAAAATTCTTGCTTGAGAAATTGCTTTTTGACCATTTAATTGAAAACAATCACAGTAAGGTACTTAATTGTTACCCAGAAATGATTATATATTGATGTAAAATGGCTTTATTGGTCCTTTAAGTGATTTCTGTAGTATATTTCTGCGTTTTAGGCTGAGGATGAGAGGAATTACCACATCTTCTACCAGCTGTGTGCCTCGGCTAGCTTGCCAGAGTTCGAAGACCTAGCCTTGAGTAAGTGTCACAGATGAATAGCCCTCCTGTAGCTCAGTTGGTAGAGCATGGCACTTGCAACACCAAGGTTGTGGGTTCGATTCCCACGGGGGGCCAGTATGAAAAATGTATGCACTCACTAACTGTAAGTCGCTCTGGATAAGAGCGTCTGCTAAATGACTAAAATGTAATGAAGTCTATATTCAACTATGTTTCGTAAGCAATTAATTATCTTTATGTCATGTTTACTAGAGGCAATGATTTCTCAAACTAAAGGATTCAGAGAATAATGGAGTGCCTATCATGCCTGTCAGGGCCTCCTAATAAGAACACTGATCTTATACATTAATTTCTATCGCTACTTACCCCCTGCTTTCATCCTGAAGCCAGTGCAGAGGATTTCATCTTCACATCACAAGGAGAGAACATCTTCATTGAGGGAGTTAATGATGCTGAGGACTTTGCGAAGACGAGAGAAGCCTTTACGTTACTGGGTAAGTGTCTGACTGCATGGGTACATTCTAAGCTAGTAACACATCTACATTAGAACAGGCGTAAAGACTGACTGGGATTTTGTTCTAATCACACAAAAGAGAAATAGAAACATGTTATTTTTCAATCTCCCGATGGAACAACTGTTAACATGCACCTTACTCTGGTTATTTGGCAGGTGTTAACGACAGCAATCAAAGCAGCATCTTCAGAATCATAGCTTCCATCCTGCATCTGGGAAACGTGGAGATCTGCTCTGAGAGAGACGGAGACTCCTGCCACATATTAGTATGTCACTATCCAGTCTTATCCATCTTAATTCTGTTTGAGTTTCTAGTTCCACATCACAGCCCCAAACCATGTGTCAGGGTGACGTGTATGCGGTGAGCGAAGTCAAGCGCAGGACACCGAGCTACTGGCAGACGAACTTTACTAGCACAGTAATATAAATACAAACAAACCTCCAAACAGGGAGGAAACAAAATACGCATACACCCGAGACTGCCGACCTCACGGAAAACAATCACACACAATAACCAATGAGAGACAGGGGGTTATAAAGGGAATACAATATAACATAATGGGAAACAAGTGAAAACAATCAGGAAAACTAGACAACCACCGAAACATAGATCGGTGGCAGCTAGTACTCCGGGGACGACGAACGCCGAAGCCTGCCCGAGCAAGGAGGAGGGGCAGCCTCGGCTGATTCCGTGACAGTACCCCCCCTTGAGCCGCGCGCCGACCCCGGCCATGGGGACGGCCAGGAGGACGCGGAGCAGGGCGATTCGGATGACTCCAGTTGAAGTCCCTCAACATGGAGGGATCTAGGATGTCCCTCCTAGGGACCCAGCACCGTTCCTCCGGACCGTACCCCTCCCACTCCACGAGATACTGCAGGCCCCCCATCCGACTCCTCGAATCCAAGATGGAACGGACTGAGTACGCCGGAGCCCCCTCGATGTCCAACGGGGGCGGAGGAGCCTCTCGTATCTCACTCTCCTGGAGTGGACCAGCCACCACCGGCCTGAGGAGAGACACATGGAACGAGGGGTTAATGCGGTAATTAATGGGCAGTTGTAACCTATAGCATACCTCGTTCAATCTCCTCAGGACTTTAAATGGCCCCACAAACCGCCGACCCAGCTTCCGGCAGGGCAGGCGAAGGGGCAGGTTTCGGGTCGAGAGCCAGACCCGATCTCCCGGTGCATACACCGGAGCCTCACTGCGGTGGCGATCGGCGCTCGCCTTTTGCCGCCTGATAGCCCGCTGCAGATGGACATGTGCAGCGTTCCAGGTTTCTTCCGAGCGCCGAAACCACTCGTCCACCGCAGGGGCTTCGATCTGGCTCTGATGCCAAGGTGCCAGGACCGGCTGATAACCTAGCACACACTGGAAAGGCGTAAGGTTAGTGGAGGAGTGGCGGAGTGAGTTTTGGGCTATCTCTGCCCAGGGAATATATCCTGACCACTCCTCCTGCTGGTCCTGGCAATAGGACCTCAGAAACCTACCCACATCCTGGTTCACTCTCTCCACCTGCCCGTTACTCTCGGGGTGAAAGCCTGAGGTAAGGCTAATCGAGACACCCAGACGTTCCATAAACGCCCTCCAGACCCTAGAGGTGAACTGGGGACCCCGATCAGACACTATATCCTCAGGCACCCCGTAGTGCCGGAAAAACGTGTGTGAACAGGGTGTCAGCAGTTTGTAGGGCAGTAGGGAGACCTGGCATAGGAATGAGATGCCAGGCCTTCGAAAACCGATCCACAACGACCAAGATCGTCGTGTTCCCCTGGGAGGGGGGAAGGTCTGTGACAAAATCCACTGATAGGTGAGACCACGGCCGTTGTGGAACGGGTAGGGATTGTAACTTCCCTCTGGGCAGGTGTCTAGGCGCCTTACACTGGGCGCACACCGAACAGGAGGAAACATAAACCCTCACGTCCTTAGCTAAAGTGGGCCACCAGTACTTCCCACTAAGGCAGTGCACTGTCCGACCAATACCAGGATGACCAGAGGAGGGTGACATGTGAGCCCAATATATCAATCGATCGCGAACCTCGAGCGGCACGTACCTCCGACCCTCTGGACACTGTGGGGGAGTAGTATCGGTACGTAACGCCCGCTCGATGTCCGCATCAACCTCCCACACCACCGGTGCCACCAGACAAGACTCCGGGAGTATGGGAGTGGGCTCAATGGACCTCTCCACTGTGTCATATAGTCGGGACAGGGCGTCTGCCTTAGCGTTCTGTGACCCTGGTCTATAGGTGAGCTTAAATACAAATCGGGAGAGAAACATAGACCACCTTGCCTGGCGAGGGTTCAGCCTCCTCGCTGCCCGGATGTACTCCAGGTTACGATGGTCAGTCAGAATGAGAAAAGGGTGTTTAGCCCCCTCAAGCCAATGCCTCCACACCTTCAGGGCTTGAACCACAGCCAACAGCTCCCTGTCCCCCACGTCATAATTGCGCTCCGCCGGACTGAGCTTCTTAGAATAGAAAGCACAGGGCAGAGTTTTGGTGGCGTACCCGAGCGCTGAGACAGCACAGCGCCGATCCCAGCCTCGGACGCATCCACCTCAACTTGGAACGCCAAAGAGGGATCCGGATGTGCCAGCACCGGAGCCGAGGTAAACAGGTCCTTCAGATGTCTAAACGCCCTGTCCGCCTCAGCCGACCACTGCAGACGCACCGGACCCCCCTTTAGCAGGGAGGTAATGGGAGCTGCTACCTGTCCAAAGCCCCGGATAAACCTCCGGTAGTAATTGGCAAAACCCAAGAACCGCTGCACTTCCTTCACCGTGGTGGGAGTCTGCCAAATACGCACGGCAGAAACGCGGTCAATCACCATCTCCACCCCTGACGCGTACAACCGATGTCCCAGGAAGGAGATGGACTCCTGGAAGAACAGACATTTCTCCGCCTTCGCATACAGGTCATGCTCTAACAGTCTACCAAGCACTCGACGCACCAGGGACACATGCTCGGCTCGTGTAGCGGAGTATATTAGAATGTCATCAATATACACCACTACACCCTGTCCATGCAAGTCCCGGAAAATCTCATCCACAAATGATTGGAAGACTGAAGGAGCATTCATTAAACCGTATGGCATGACGAGGTACTCATAGTGACCCGAGGTGGTACTGAATGCTGTCTTCCACTCATCTCCCTCCCTAATGCGCACCAGGTTGTACGCGCTCCTGAGATCCAATTTTGTGAAGAATCGCGCCCCGTGTAATGACTCCGTCATACTAGCAATCAGAGGGAGAGGATAGCTGTATTTGATTGTGATCTGATTGAGACCACGGTAATCAATACACGGGCGTAAACCCCCATCCTTCTTCTTCACAAAAAAGAAACTCGAGGACGCAGGGGAAGTGGACGGCCGTATGTATCCCTATCTCAGAGATTCGGTGACGTATGTCTCCATAGCCACCGTCTCCTCCTGAGACAGAGGATACACATGACTATGCGTTAGCGCAGCGCTTACTTGGAGGTCTATCGCACAATCCCCCTGTCGATGAGGTGGTAATTGAGTCGCCTTCTTTTTACAGAAGGCGAGTGCCAAATTGGCATACTCAGGTGGAATGTGCATGGTGGGAACTTGGTTCGGGCTTTCCACCGTCGTTGCCCCTACGGAAACACCTACACACCGCCCGAAACACTGATCAGACCATCCCTTGAGAGCCCTCTGTTGCCATGAAATGTTGGGGTCATGAGATGTTAACCAGGGAAGCCCCAACTCCACGGGAAACGCAGGAGAATCAATAAAATACAAACTTAGTATCTCCTCATGGCCCTCCTGCGTTTTCATCCTGAGCGGCGCTGTGACTTCCCTAATCAATCCTGACCCCAAAGGGCGGCTATCTAGGGCATGGATGGGGAAGGGCACATCAACAGGTACAATAGGAATCCCTAACTTATAGGTGAATTGGCGATCGATAAAATTCCCAGCTGCGCCTGAATCTACTAGCGCCTTATGCTGGGAGTGAGGAGAAACCTCGGGAAACACAACTTTAATACACATATGCACAACAGAGAGCTCTGGGTGAGTTGGGTGCCTACTCACCTGGAATGACTCATCAGTGCGCTGCTTACCGCCTCGATTCCTAGGAGGCCCTCCCCAGCACCGACCAGCAGTGTGTCCTCTGCGGCCACAGTTGGCGCAGGGGACGGCCTCCCTCCTGGTCTCTCTCCTGGTCTCCCTAGCACCAGCACCTCCGAGCTCCATAGGGGTCGGCTCGGAAGTGCTGGGGGATGGAATGGACGGCCCTGAATCCGGACGTCCACGGGTAGCCAACAGGGTATCCAGACGAATGGACATGTCCACCAGTTGGTCGAAGCTGAGGTTGGTGTCCCTGCAGGCCAATTCCCGACGCACGTCCTCCCTCAGGCTACATCTATAGTGGTCGATGAGGGCCCTCTCATTCCATCCCGCGTTGGCAGCCAGCGTCCGGAAGTCCAGCGCGAACTCCTGTGCGCTCCTCCTCCCCTGTCTAAAGTGGAATAGACGCTCACCCGCCGCTTTACCCTCGGGTGGATGATCGAATACTGTCCTGAAGCGGCGGGTGAACTCCGCATAGTTGACAGTAGCGGCGTCTATTCCCCCCCACTCGGCATTGGCCCACTCCAGCGCCTTGCCGGACAGACAGGAGATGAGGGCGGACACGCTCTCGTATCCCGAGGGCACCGGGTGGATGGTTGCTAGGTAGAGTTCAACCTGGAGCAGGAAACCCTGACACCCGGCCGCTGTACCATCATAAGCCCTCGGGAGCGAGAGCCGAATCCCACTGGACCCCGGAGGTGAAGCGATGGGCATCGCCGATGGTGGTGGTATCGTTGGAGAAGGCGTAGGCAGACCCTCTCTTTCCCATCGCCCAATAGTGCTCACCAACCGTTCCATGGCGGTGCCGAGAGCCTGGATCATGGCCGCTTGGTGTTCGACGCGTTCCTCCATTGATCCAGCTGGCACCGCCGCTCCTGCTGACTCCATGAATGGTGTGTGATTCTGTCAGGGTGACGTGTATGCGGTGAGCGAAGTCAAGCGCAGGACACCGAGCTACTGGCAGACGAACTTTACTAGCACAGTAATATAAATACAAACAAACCTCCAAACAGGGAGGAAACAAAATACGCATACACCCGAGACTGCCGACCTCACGGAAAACAATCACACACAATAACCAATGAGAGACAGGGGGTTATAAAGGGAATACAATATAACATAATGGGAAACAGGTGAAAACAATCAGGACAAACTAGACAACCACCGAAACATAGATTGGTGGCAGCTAGTACTCCGGGGACGACGAACGCCGAAGCCTGCCCGAGCAAGGAGGAGAGGCAGCCTCGGCTGATTCCGTGACACCATGTATCTTCTCTATACCTCATACCTAATTTGTTTATTACATTTGTGTGTGTGTGTGTGTGTGTGTGTGTTTTTAGAAGAACGACCCTCACTTGACACATTTTTGCCAGTTGCTGGGGGTGGAGCTGGAGCAGATGGAGCACTGGCTATGTCACAGGAAGCTGGTTACCACGTCAGAGACCTATGTCAAGAACATGTCCCGCAAACAGGCGGCTAACGCACGCGACGCGCTCGCCAAACACATCTACGCGCACATGTTTGACTGGATTGTGGAGTATGTGAACAAGTCCCTGCACACCTCCTCCAAACAACACTCTTTCATTGGTGTTCTGGACATCTACGGGTAAGACTGTCCACCTGTGCTCCCCAAAACCTCTAAAAACAAAGCTCAACAGTGGGTTGGTTTGAATTGTGAGAGAAACTTTTTTTGTTGTTATTTTTTATTTTTTTGGGGTCATTTAGCAGACGCTCTTATCCAGAGCGACTTACAGGAGCAATTAGGGTTAAGTGCCTTGCTCAAGGGCACATCGACAGATTTTTCACCTAGTTGGCTCAGGGATTAGAACCAGCGACCTTTCGGTTACTGGCACAACGCTCTTAACCACTAAGCTACCTGCCGCCCCACTAACTTGACTGTGTGGTGAGAACCGATTTTCTAGCCAGCACCAGAAGTCTTCTTTAAGGAGTGAAATCTCAGCCATGGTGAATGTTAAAATAATCCCAGGCTTGTAGTTAATTAACACACTGTGACAGCAGGCACACAGAACAACATCCCAATCCCACATTCTTAATTTTGCCTTGCAGTTCTGTCACACCATGTTATTTGTACCAGGGTACGAAGAAGCTTGATATTTGATGAGTAGATTTCATAACTACTCAGTGTGTGTGTGCCCTCGAGTCTGCAGATGTGCCTCTGTGTCGACGCGAATGTGTGTGTGTGAGGGCTATGCGTCTCTCCAGCTAAATATGTCCATCCACTGTGTTTTAAGTGCATCTTCTCATTACAGTAGACTAGAGTATGGAACCATATTGACTGGGGGTGCTGTGCTCTTCCTCTGCTTGACCCTGTCTGACTGAAGGCCTAATTGGTTCCCTGCTGTGGGTTATATTATTGATAAGGCTAGCTGCTGGGGCAGGGAGGGGAGAGATACTGAGCTACAGTGGAAACCTCTCCCCAAATAAGACATTCAGCAGACACAGCAGCCTGGTTACTTTTACATGCTTTGCACGAGCAGTGACTCTGAAGACCAGTTTTCCATGGCCTCTGTCTGTCTATTCAGCATTGTATTTTCAGCTATCACGTCAGGCATACATTTACGTTTACATTTTAGTAATTTAGCAGACACTTTTATACAGAGAGACTTACAGGAGCAGTTAGGGTTAAGTGCCTTGCTCAAGGGCACATCGACATATTTTTCACCTACCTACATCAGTGGGATCAATCAACATCTCAGTCCTGAAGTCCTGGGTTTTATTGACAACTGTAACCTTAAATGAGTGATGATTGTTTGGTGCAGTTTTCCTCTAGGCCCGTGATTTAGAATCACTGTGTGTTTACAACAGGATGACGAGACCAGAGACTTCTGACTCACTAAACACTTTAATGTTTTATTTTCATCTGAACAGATTTGAGACCTTTGAGATAAACAGCTTTGAGCAGTTCTGCATCAACTACGCCAATGAGAAACTTCAGCAGCAGTTCAACCAGGTGAGTTTGAGACTAGATTGTAATCTAGCTACCTTTACCTTAGTTTCCAAGGTTCTGTAGAGGAGACGTGACAACTTGTCGCTGTTAACCTCATGACTCAACATGTATTTATTCAAGTGAAATAATTCATTACTTAGTCTAACTGATAACCTGCTGTGCTGTAGCTCACTGTGTGGCTGTCTCTCTGTGTCCTCAGCATGTGTTCAAGCTGGAGCAGGAGGAGTACATGAAAGAGCAGATCCCCTGGACGCTCATCGACTTCTATGACAACCAGCCTTGTATCGACCTCATAGAGGCCAAGCTGGGCATCCTGGACCTGCTGGATGAGGAGTGCAAGGTGGAGCACCCTGTCTTACATATCATGTCTTAGTCCAGAGCTCCAGAGTACATAGTTCGTAACTCATTAGTGGGCAAGTTTATAGGGACGATTGGCCGTAGGAGGACTTATAGTGCTGGATGCACTTGAGCAGTCTCAGGTGTTGAACAGTCTTTAGTGTTCAGGGCTGGGGGGAGCGGAGCAGAGCAGAGCGTACTGCTGATCCCAGCATTTATAAACCTCTTGTCTCAGTTAATGGGACTCCTCCTGCTTTCATACAGTGGGGAAAAAAAGTATTTAGTCAGCCACCAATTGTGCAAGTTCTCCCACTTAAAAAGATGAGAGAGGCCTGTAATTTTCATCATAGGTACACGTCAACTATGACAGACAAATTGAAAAAAAAAATTGCCAACAAAGGGTATATAACAAAGTATTGAGAAACTTTTGTTATTGACCAAATACTTATTTTCCACCATAATTTGCAAATAAATTAATTAAAAATCCTACAATGTGATTTTCTGGATTATTTTTTCTCATTTTGTCTGTCATAGTTGACGTGTACCTATGATGAAAATTACAGGCCTCTCTCATCTTTATAAGTGGGAGAACTTGCACAATTGGTGGCTGACTAAATACTTTTTTCCCCCACTGTATGTACACAGCGTGGCCTGCGTCTGTTTCACCTGCCTGCATCCAGATCTTTATCTGAGTTAAGGCCTTTGGAACAAAACAGATTACTTATTTATTTCACTCATCCTGTCTCATCCCGCATCCCTTTGAAGTTAATGACAATAATTTGGAACAACCTCAAATACTTAGTATTCTGAGCACAGGTAACGTGGGTAGAACGTTTTGGTTTTCTCCATGGTTGTATATAATCTCTCTCCTCTTTCCTTCTTTCCCTCCACCTACTGCTGCTACAGGTGCCAAAAGGGACAGATCAGAACTGGTGCCAGAAGCTGTACGATCGCCTTTCAATCAGCGTCCATTTCCAGAAACCACGGATGTCCAACACATCTTTCATTGTCATTCACTTTGCTGATAAGGTGGGTAGACCCAACGTAGAGACAAAATGTATCACATGAAAAGCACCTGTACGTATGGCTCTTCAGTTAGGTGAACATTTGATGACCCCAAGGTTGATGGTTGAAATTTCGTTTGAGAAAAAAAAAAATTGTTACAGGCCTCAAAGGGTCAATCTGCGATTGCTACATCAATTTCTTGACATTTAAATTCATGATATATACCCATTGATTCTTGAAGAGTATAACTTGTACATGCCTCATGAGGTTAGTCCAACTGTCGTACCCCATCAGAACCCTTTGTTTGTAAACAACGCAATTGTAAACACTCTATAGCCTCAAAACATGGTTAAAACTAGAACATTGAATCTCATGGATGGTCAGTCCTTCCATCAATAGCTCTTCCTATGAATTTGAGAGTGATTACATTTCTCAGCCCCATCCCTTAGTTATTTACCAAATCAGTGGCGGGGTGACAGTTTATTGTTTCAAATGCAGATTGACCCTTTAAGCAAGGTAACGTATTTAAACCAAACTGCTTCAATATACCTGCCTGAATAATTCGGACAATCTACAAGTTGTGCTATTCAAAGGACTTTTAAAGGACATGACATGAATCTCCCTCATTGCAGGGGCTTTGCCTGAAAATAATAAATGTGAATAGCCCATGATGACTAAACTCATCAGAGAGGCGCTGTGTGTTAGTGTAACCTCGTCCCTACCGCTTATAAGCCTGGGATATCAACCACTCAACAGTTGGTCTTACTGGGAGTGACCATAGAATTCTATGGGAGTGACCTACTGAGTAAAGTATTTGTCATCATTTAATTTTAGCAAATCACAGGACTGCGAGGCGTGGCTCTGTGCTTGTAGTGTGCTAGCGTATGGGGGAGGGTTAGGGGGAAGGTTTTGTGGGAGATGATTGGGTGGTAAATTAAGCCAATTAAGCCAATGCCTATTGGCTAACAAAGGCCAAGTTTGACGCGTTGGTCCACCAGACTCTTTGCGCATTTGGGCGGAATTGTCTGAGAATGAGATTAGTATGAGTATAGTTTTGGTGTGAGTTGGGTGTTGGTGTGAGTATAGTGTTGGTGTGAGTAGAGTGTTGGTGTGAGTAGAGTGTTGGTGTGAGTAGAGTGTTGGTGTGAGTAGAGTGTTGGTGTGGTGAGTGTTGGTGTGAGTAGGTGTTGGTGTGAGTAGAGTGTTGGTGTGAGTTGGGTGTTGGTGTGAGTTGGGTGTTGGTGTGAGTATAGTGTTGGTGTGGTATGTGTTGGTGTGGTCAGCAGTGTTGGTGTGGTTCGTGTTGGTGTGCGTAGTGTTGGTGTGCGTGAGTGTTGGTGTGGTCGCGTGTTGGTGTGAGTTGGGTGTTGGTGTGCGTGCGTGTTGGTGTGCGTTGGGTGTTGGTGTGGTCTCGTGTTGGTGTGCGTTAGTGTTGGTGTGGTCGCGTGTTGGTGTGCGTCGCGTGTTGGTGTGCGTCTCGGTTGGTGTGCGTTGGGTGTTGGTGTGCGTTGGGTGTTGGTGTGCGTCTCGTGTTGGTGTGCGTCGCGTGTTGGTGTGCGTCTGTGTTGGTGTGCGTCGCGTGTTGGTGTGCGTTTGGGTGTTGGTGTGCGTTGGGTGTTGGTGTGCGTCTCGTGTTGGTGTGCGTCGCGTGTTGGTGTGCGTCGCGTGTTGGTGTGCGTGCGTGTTGGTGTGCGTTGGGTGTTGGTGTGCGTTGGGTGTTGGTGTGCGTCTCGTGTTGGTGTGCGTCGCGTGTTGGTGTGCGTCGCGTGTTGGTGTGCTTCGTGTTGGTGTGCGTCGCGTGTTGGTGTGCGTTGGGTGTTGGTGTGCGTCTGTGTTGGTGTGCGTCGGTGTTGGTGTGCGTCGCGTGTTGGTGTGCGTCGCTGTTGTGTGTGCGTCGCGTGTTGGTGTGCGTTGGGTGTTGGTGTGCTTGGGTGTTGGTGTGCGTCTGTGTTGGTGTGCGTGCGTGTTGGTGTGCGTCGCGTGTTGGTGTGTGCGTACGCGTGTTGGTGTGCAGTAGCGTGTTGGTGTGGTAGCGTGTTGGTGTCCGTTGGGTGTTGGTGTGCGTCTCGTGTTTGGTGTGCGTCGGTGTTGGTGTGGTTGGGTGTTGGTGTGCGTCTCGTGTTGGTGTGCGTCGCGTGTTGGTGTGCGTCCGTGTTGGTGTGCGTCGCGTGTTGGTGTGCGTCGCGTGTTGGTGTGCGTTGGGTGTTGGTGTGCGTTGGGTGTTGGTGTGCGTCTCGTGTTGGTGTGCGTGCGTGTTGGTGTGCGTTCGTGTTGGTGTGCGTCGTGTTGGTGTGCGTCGCTGTTGGTGTGGTCGCGTGTTGGTGTGCGTCCGCGTGTTTGGTGTGCGTCGCGTGTTGGTGTGGTTGGGTGTTGGTGTGCGTCGCGTGTTTGGTGTGCGTTGGGTGTTGGTGTGCGTTGGGTGTTGTTGTGTGCGTTGGGTGTTGGTGTGCGTTAGTGTTGGTGTGAGCAGAGTGTTGGTGTGAGTATAGTGTTGGTGTGAGTTGGGTGTTGGTGTGAGTAGAGTGTTGGTGTGAGTATAGTGTTGGTGTGAGTAGAGTGTTGGTGTGAGTATAGTGTTGGTGTGAGTAGAGTGTTGGTGTGAGTAGACGTGTAGACGTGTACCTATGATGAAAATTACAGGCCTCTCTCATCTTTTTAAGTGCGAGAACTTGCACAATTGGTGGCTGACTAAATACTTTTTTCCTCCACTGTAAATAAGTTCAGGAGTAAAAATGTGCTTCACTAGTCACATAATAAGTTGCATGGACTCACTCTGTGTGCAATAATAGTGTTTTCCAATGCCTCGCCAAGAAGAGCACCTATTGGTAGATGGGTATAAAATTCAAAAGCAGACATTGAATATCCCTTTGAGCATGGTGAAGTTATTAATTACACTTCGGATGGTGTATCAGTACACCAAAACATGCATCCTGTTTGCAATAAGGCACTAAAGTAAAACTGCAAAAAATGTGGCAAAGAAATGCATTTTTATGTCCTGAATATGTTTGGGGCAAATCCAACACAACACATCACTGAGTACCACGCTTCATATTTTCAAGTATGGTGGTGGCTGCATCATGTTATGGGTATGCTTGTTATCGGCAAGGACTAGGGAGTTTTTGGGGATAAAAATAAACAGAATAGAGCTAAGCACAGGCAAAATCCTAGAGGAAAACCTGGTTCAGTCTGCTTTTCATCAGACACTGAGAGACAAATTCACCTTTCTGCAGGATAATAACCTAAAACACAAGGCCAAATATACACTGGAGTTGCTTACCAAGACGACATTTTATGTTCCTGAGTGGCCTAGTTATAGTTTTGACTTAAATCGGCTTGAAAATCTATGGCAAGACTTGAAAGTGGCTGTCCAGCAATTATCAACAACCAACTTGACAGAGCTTGAAGAATTTTTTTAATAATAATGTGCAAATATTGTACAATCCAGGTGTTCAAAACTCTTAGAGACTTACCCAGAAAGACTCAGAGCTGTAATCTCTGCCAAGGGTTATTCTAACATGTATTGACTCAGGGGTGTGAATACTTCTATGAATTAGATATTTCTGTATTTAATTATTAATACATTTGCAAACATTTCTAAAAACATGTTTTTACATTGTCATTATGGGGTATTGCGTGTAGATGGGTGAAGAAAAAATAAATGTAATCCATTTTGAATTGAGGCTGTAACGCAACAAAATGTGGAATAAGTCAAGGGTATGAATACTTTCTGAAGGAACTGTAATTACCGTAGTTGATTAAATGTTTGCTTATTTAGTTGTCAGTGTATTTAGATGTACTGTATATTTCTATAAGTGCAGTCCATTACATCTACATGACCAGTCAAAAGTTTGGACACACCTACTCATTCCAGGGTTTTTCTTTATTTTTACTATTTTCTACATTGTAGAATAATAGTGAAGACATCAAAACTATGAAATAACACATGGAATCATGTAGTAACCAAAACAGTGTTAAACAAATCAAAATATATTTTCTATTTGAGATTCTTCAAAGTAGCCACCCTTTGCGTGATGACAGCTTTGCACACTCTTGGCATTCTCTCAATCAGCTTCATGAGGTAGTCACCTGGAATGCATTTCAATTAACAGGTGTGCCTTGTTAAAAGTTAATTTGTGGAATTTCTTTCCTTCTTAATGCGTTTGAGCCGATCAGTTGTGTTGTGACAAGGTAGGGGGGGTATACAGAAGATAGGCCTATTTGGTGAAAGATCAAGTTCAAATAATGGCAAGAACAGCTCAAATAAGCAAAGAGAAACGACAGTGAAGGTCAGTCAATGCGGAACATTTCAAGAACCTTTAACGTTCTTCAAGTGCATTCGCAAAAACCATAGAGCTATGATGAAACTGGCTCTCATGAGGACTGCCACAGGAAAGGAAGACCCAGAGTTACCTCTGCTGCAGAGGAGAAGTTAATTAGAATTACCAGCCTCAGAAATTGCAACCCAAATAAATGCTTCACAGTGTTTAAGTCACAGACACATCTCAACATCAACTGTTCAGAAGAGACTGCGTGAGTCAGGCCTTCATGGTCGAATTGCTGCAAAGAAACCACTACTAAAGGAGACCAATAAGAAGAAGAGACTTGCTTGGGCCAAGAAACACGAGCAATCGACATTAGACTGGTGGAAATCTGTCCTTTGGTCTATGAGTCCAAATTTGAGATTCTTGGTTCCAACCACTGTGTCTTTGTGAGATGCAGAGTAAGTGAACGGATGATCTCCGCATGTGTGGTTCCCACCGTGAAGCATGGAGAAGGAGGCGTGGGGGTGCTTTGCTGGTGACACTGTCTGTGATTTATTTAGAATTCAAGGCACACTTAACCAGCATGGCTACCACAGCATTCTGCAGCGATACGCCATCCCATCTGGTATAGTGGGTCTATAATTTGTTTTTCAACAGAACAATGACCCAACACACCAGGCTGTGTAAGGGCTATTTGACCAAGAAGGAGAGTGATGGAGTGCTGCATCAGATGACCTGGCCTCCACAATCACCCGACCTCAACCCAACTGAGATGGTTTGGGATGAGTTGGACCTCAGAGTGAAGGAAATGCAGCCAACAAGTGCTCAGCATATGTGGGAACTCCTTCAAGACTGTTGGAAACGCATTCCAGGTGAAGCTGGTTGAGAGAATGCCAAGAGTGTGCAAAGCTGTCATCAAGGCAAAGGGTGGCTATTTGAAGAATCTCAAATATAAAATATATTTTGATTTGTTTAACACTTTTTTGGTTACTATAAGATTCCATATGTGTTTTTTCATAGTTTTGATGTCTTCACTATTATTCTACATTGTAGAAAATAGTAAAAATATAGAAAAACCCTTGAATGAGTAGGTGTGTCCAAACCTTTGACTGGTACTGTACCTCTGTCCCTGGCAGGTTGAGTACCAGTGTGACGGGTTCCTGGAGAAGAACAGAGACACTGTCTACGAGGAACAGATTAACATTCTGAAGGCCAGCAAGGTGAGAGCGAATAATATCATTAAACCACCAGCACAACGTCACAGCCATAATAATACTCCTGCTTATTTTCCTATATCATATAGGGGACACTTCCTCCCAAGCTAAACACACTGCCCACGTAACTGGAGAACGCAGGTCACAAAGAAGTCTATTTTTAAGCTCTAACTGATTTAATATCCAACCCTTTGTCCTTTACTGCTTTTATGGACTTCTTTCTTGGAAAAGCAGCACTGTTTGAAGCCTCTTTAAGCAGAAAACTGATTTGGTACAAGCTTTACTTTTACCAAATTAGTTTACTGCTTAAAGAGGCTTCAGTTTTGGGACAGAGTGAAACTACGCAAAAAAAGTTACATGATTTAGAAAGTGGCAAGTTGAAAGCATTTCACAGGTTCCTATGCTGGCAAGTATAGCTTCTATCAGATAGTTGTTGTTTAAAGCCAGGCTGACAACTTGACAACACTTCACATGAACCCTACAGTTTAAATCCTACTTTACATTCTAATTTGAAATACATTGAAGGTCAATTAAGCAGTCATATCAACATTCTACTATATTGCAGATGAACTGTCACAATCACAACACACATACACACACACACACACACACACACACACACACACACACACACACACACACACACACACACACACACACACTCTTTCTGGAGGTCCCCTGACTCCTGCCTCTCCAAGCCAAACTCAAACTGTTTGATAGAAACCTAACTTCAGCTCATGTTCTCTGCATGACCTTTGTGATATAAGCTAAATAAGCCAAATGTGCATTGGCTTTCTCAGTCATTTGAATTCAGTTCATTTCAACTTTCACACCCCCACTGCCACTCACTCTCTTTGGGACAAATACCAACTTTAGTTGACTTTGTCTCGTGTTAGTATTCAGCCATTTCTTTTTCTTCCATCTTTTCTCCCTCGCTCCTAATGTCTCCTCAGCATTACTAATGCAACAGGCATTAAGAGCGTGGAAATGAGAGGGAATATTGAGAGGAGAGATTTCATATTTCATGTTCTGTCTAAAAGCATCTCGTCAGTGGAAAGAAATCCATTTTCCATCAGAAAGACACCAAGCTCCATTGAACAGCATGGATAAGTATAAGAAGGATTGAATAGAACAAATACATTTCAGATGCAGTCAAGGTTTCCTGAACAAAAGCAGTGATGAAGACATAGCAGGTCCACCCCTGGGGATTGCAGTCTCAATATTGTAAAATATCATGTACTGCATTTCTGTCTCTCTACCTGTCATTTCAATTCCCTTTCTAGTGTGAGTTTTGCACCGTAGTTGTCTCTGAGGCCCTAGCTCATTAAACCCTCATATCTAGCTGAGGATGACAGTGACAGAGAAACCTGTCAGCAGTGGGGAGCCTTGGAGGACTCGTGAGGGTCAGGAAACTTCCTCCAGCTGATAATACTTTCCTCAATGGACCATTACTGTAATATATCACAGCCTGAGAGGAGAAGGAGGATGGAGCAAGGAATCTCCTCCATGAATCTTCATAAAATGACCATAAATCCAATCCTACTCGCGGAGAGCTTATTTTATTTGCAAGGTTATGAAGGAAATATTTTCCTAAAAACTTTAATGTTCATGTCAGAATGAAACACTCTTGGCAAGTTTGGCAGAGAGAAGTATGAGAGAATAGTTATCAGTATGGATAGTGGGACTGGACTGGACCTTATCATTAGTCTCATCACACCAGCCTTATCTGTGACAGGAATATTAATGTGCCATCATCAGTATTCCCTCTGCATCCATCTCTCTCTCTGCCATGATCAGATGTGATGCTGCTGCTTGATTGTTACCCTTCACTGGTTCTGCTGAGGAGATGTGCTTACAGAATGCTCCTTACTGAAGCCTGAACGCTGGTTTGTTGACGTCCCGTCCAGCCGTGCTCTTCGTTACTGTAGTCTCTTCTTTAACACACACAGCTATTTCACTGGATCCTACAGTATAGCACTATACAGTATGTATCTTATGAAAAATATGTTAATAAAGATTTCCCGCCACATTTGGTGTGGTTTGGGGATTTGATGTTGTTATCCAGCTGTAAAATGGGTTATAATATAATCTGTTTTATGATAAATTGTTTGGATGAAACCCGCTGCTAAACATATGAATGATTAATGTGGTTAACTTGTCCCCCATCTCCCAGTTCCAGCTCGTGGCAGATCTGTTCCAGGACACTAATAAAGACAGCAGCATTTCCACGTCTTCCTCCAGCAAGTCCTCCAGGGTCAACGTGCGGGCGGCCAAACCAACACCCAAAGTCCCCAACAAGGAGCACAGGAAAACTGTGGGCCACCAGGTTAGCATCCCCTCTGACACTATGAGGCCTGAGTTCAATCAACGTGCCTTTGGGCAGGAGTCTGTCTGTGCCATTGTCATAGTCCATTTCTAAAGAGTGTATTCAACCTTTCTATAGAAAGCATTAAGAAAACTTTCTCCATCGTAGATGTGTTTAACTTTGCCTTTGTGGTACTTCTCATCCCCTTCTGTCTGTTTGTTTACTGTAGTTCCGTAGCTCCCTGCAGCTTCTCATGGAGACCCTGAATGCCACCACCCCCCACTATGTGCGTTGCATCAAGCCTAATGATGAGAAGGAGGCATTCTCGTGAGTAAATATTCTTACCTCGACTGTCTTCCCTAATCAGATCTATAAGCCTGTGGTCTCCCACAGCTTAAGAAACATGTGGTACGGTCATAGTGAGGTCATATCTGCTTATATAAGAGAACTCTAATGAACATGCATGTAGTCAGGTGGAAAGACAATCAGGAGAGAGTACTGTGTGGGAGAGACAGAGAGACATCACCTGGGTGTACATGCTGTGTTTATTCTTTGGTTGCCTTGGCCCTTGTGTAGCCTGAGGTACGGATTCTGTCTCTCTTGTTGAGTAACTCTCAAGTCCCCTTCAGCACTGTGCAAACTCTGGGGTGGCAGGTAGCCTAACAGTTAGAGAGTTAAGCCAGTAAACGGAGGGTTGTTAGTTTGAATCCCGGGTCCGACGGGAAAAATCTGGCGGTAAGTGAGCTAGCAACCAGAGGGTAGCTGGTATCAAATCCTAGGTGCCATTGCCTGCCGTTCTGCCCTTGAGCAAGGCAATAAACCCCCCATAACAACTGCTCCATGGGCACCCAGTGTGTCAGCCCCCTTCTCCAACCTATGTATGTGTGTCTTTCGGAGGGGTTGGGATAAATCTGAAGTTACATTTTGGTTGGACCTTTGTACAATTGACGAATAAAGTGATCTTAATCTTAATTGTAGACTAGGCTAAATAATATTACCACGAGTAGAACCGCTTCATGCTGTTCACAGCGTGGTAGCCACTGGACCAAAACAGCAGAGAAGTTGAGCGTCATGCTTCAATGCTCTTAGTTGTTGCAGAAATTGACCCACTGCTATTTTCTTTCTGCATCTATGTCAAATCGCTGAGTCTACCTTAATCTTAATCATAAATATTTATCTTGCTCACACTGGCACAACCATGTTGACTATTACCGGAAACTCTCATCCAAAATAAAAACTATATTTCTCAATAAACAAGAATGGGACATTTAAACCAGCACACTAGATATTTGAGAACTACTTTTTGAAGTAGAGAACTACTATATTTGAAACTAAATTGAACAAATGCAATGACCAATGCAAGATGGGATGTTGTCAATTCAGATTCTCACAGGCTTTTGTTTTTAAAGGTTGATTTAGGAAGTGTATCTGTCTTACACAGCACACATTGTAGATGTAGAGTGTTTACTTCAGAAAAACAGGAAAGAAGCAGAGGTCAGGTTATGTTGGCATCGTCTTGACGCATTCTTTAGCATTTACATTTTAGCACAAGGGCCTCTTCAAGGGCCTCTAAATCTAATGGTGTGCCTGCGTGAGTCACATGCTGTGGCTGGACTGTAGCAAACGTACTGAAGGCTGTATGTAAGGACACACAGTCAGTCTTCCCAGGCAGCACATAGCCGACTAACATTCACATCCTCTCATGTCTACCTAATGGAGATGTGCACAATGCTGAAAGAGAAGTTTAAGCTCAGGTAGGAAGAGAGAAACAGCCTTTACTTGTCTGTGTATTGTAACTAACCCTCTTCCCAGAATGCAAGTGGGTTTTCATTGTGATGGGGGAACAATCTAGAAACTTTGTATAAGTGTTTGCTGCCATACTGTGTAAAACCGTGTTGCCGATCTTGCCAAGCCATCTTGTCATGAGGACCACAATGGAAATAAGTCTGACTTTATTGTGTTATCCTCCATGATTTTACTCATTTACGTCTATGTATTTTTCAAGTTTGTTTTTAAAATGGTTGAATGAATAAACCTAAACTGAAAACAAAACTTATTTTGTCCCTGTCTTTGTTGCAGGTTTGAGTCTAGGAGAGCTGTGCAGCAACTGAGGGCATGTGGAGTCCTAGAGACCATCCGCATCAGTGCTGCTGGGTACCCATCAAGGTAAGATGCTTCTCATACACTACTGTTATATGGGAGGGCACGCTCTCTGCTGTGTGCAATAGGTTGTGGAATCACAGAAATTAGATGTAGTCCTGTGTGGGTCAGTTGGTAGAGCATGGCGCTTGCAACACCAAGACGTATGGGTTTGATTCCCGCTGGGGCCACCCCCAAAAAATATGCACGCAAGGCTGTAAGTCGATTTGGATAAAAGTGTCTGCTAAATGGCATATATTATTATGATTATTATGATTATTATTATGATTATTATTATTATTCTATTATATATTACAATAGAATAGAATGTGATTGTTAAGGGTCTCCACTGTGATGTAATGGGCTTTCTCGATCTCCTAAGCAGAGGTGAAATTGAATTCCTTCTCTCCTGAGATGCATGCTGAGGGAGAACAGGAGGAGAGCAATTTTACTAAGCTAGCATATGGAGTTGTTTTAAGATGGTCATACCATGGATCATTTAGATATTTGATTTGGAATTTTAGGACACGCATAGGTATCAAAGATACATATTGAAAAATGATTAGATAAAATATTGAATTTGGCCTTTACTACTATAGCCTATAGAAACGCATTGACTGGGTGATCTGAAAAGTCATAGACAATCGATCAATAATATAATAATACTTTTAGCAAAAATGTTTATTTTCAATTTACAATCTGTAGAAAAATGAGAATAGAAAGGTTCAGAACTTTTGTAAAACATCAATGTACAGTTGAAAAATATATGGCAAATAGAAATCCAATATGGATGGTGTTAAGAGATAGATGGGTGGTGTTGAATGGAGTTGAAGGATGGGACTAATAACAACTAATAACAACAAGTTAACTAATGTGAAGCATACTGTGTCCATAATAAGTATATAGGTTATAGGTTGAGAGTTTTTGTGAAAGAGCACAGTTAGAAAGATATGGCATATAGAAGCAAACCGGATGGACATCATGAAAATGATCGGATAGGTTGAGGGTAGAGGAAGTTCAGGAGTAAAAACAAACAAAATAGAATTATTGTAAAATTGACTGTGTCCATAAAATGTATATAGTATGCATGGGCTGGAAGTAGAGGCCTAAGCATTGTTGTTCACTAGTTTACTCCAATTAGGGAAGGGGTGGTGGGGTTGGAAAGTAATAAAGGGATTCTTTTTTTTTTTTAAGGATATGTATATATATTATTATTATATATATTTTTTTGTCATTTAGCAGACGCTCTTATCCAGAGCGACTTACAGGAGCAATTAGGGTTAAGTGCCTTGCTCAAGGGCACATCGACAGATTTTTCACCTAGTCAGCTCGGGGATTAGAACCTGCGACCTTTCGGTTACCGGCACAACGCTCTTAACCACTATATGTATGTATACAGTTCTCCCCACTGTATACATACATACAGTGGGGAGAACAAGTATTTGATACACTGCCGATTTTGCAGGTTTTCCTACTTACAAAGCATGTAGAGGTCTGTAATTTTTATCATAGGTACACTTCAACTGTGAGAGACGGAATCTAAAACAAAAATCCAGAAAATCACATTGTATGATTTTTAAGTAATTAATTTGCATTTTATTGCATGACATAAGTATTTGATACATCAGAAAAGCAGAACTTAATATTTGGTACAGAAACCTTTGTTTGCAATTACAGAGATCATACGTTTCCTGTAGGTCTTGACCAGGTTTGCACACACTGCAGCAGGGATTTTGGCCCACTCCTCCATACAGACCTTCTCCAGATCCTTCAGGTTTCGGGGCTGTAGCTGGGCAATACGGACTTTCAGCTCCCTCCAAAGATTTTCTATTGGGTTCAGGTCTGGAGACTGGCTAGGCCACTCCAGGACCTTGAGATGCTTCTTACGGAGCCAATCCTTAGTTGCCCTGGCTGTGTGTTTCGGGTCATTGTCATGCTGGAAGACCCAGCCACGACCCATCTTCAATGCTCTTACTGAGGGAAGGAGGTTGTTGGCCAAGATCTCGCGATACATGGCCCCATCCATTCTCCCCTCAATACGGTGCAGTCGTCCTGTCCCCTTTGAAGAAAAGCATCCCCAAAGAATGATGTTTCCACCTCCATGCTTCACGGTTGGGATGGTGTTCTTGGGGTTGTACTCATCCTTCTTCTCCATTCAAACACGGCAAGTGGAGATTAGACCAAAAAGCTCTATTTTTGTCTCATCAGACCACATGACCTTCTCCCATTCCTCCTCTGGATCATCCAGATGGTCATTGGCAAACTTCAGACGGGCCTGGACATGCGCTGGCTTGAGCAGGGGGACCTTGCGTGCGCTGCAGGATTTTAATCCATAACGGCGTAGTGTGTTGCTAATGGTTTTCTTTGAGACTGTGGTCCCAGCTCTCTTCAGGTCATTGACCAGGTCCTGCCGTGTAGTTCTGGGCTGATCCCTCACCTTCCTCATGATCATTGATGCCCCACGAGGTGAGATCTTGCATGGAGCCCCAGACCGAGGGGGATTGACCGTCATCTTGAACTTCTTCCATTTTCTAATAATTGCGCCAACAGTTGTTGCCTTCTAACCAAGCTGCTTGCCTATTGTCCTGTAGCCCATCCCAGCCTTGTGCAGGTCTACAATTTTATCCCTGATGTCCTTACACAGCTCTCTGGTCTTGGCCATTGTGGAGAGGTTGGAGTCTGTTTGATTGAGTGTGTGGACAGGTGTCTTTTATACAGGTAACGAGTTCAAACAGGTGCAGTTAATACAGGTAATGAGTGGAGAACAGGAGGGCTACTTAAAGAAAAACTAACAGGTCTGTGAGAGCCGGAATTCTTACTGGTTGGTAGGTGATCAAATACTTATGTCATGCAATAAAATGCAAATTCATTACTTAAAAATCATACAATGTGATTTTCTGGATTTTTGTTTTAGATTCCGTCTCTCACAGTTGAAGTGTACCTATGATAAAAATTACAGACCTCTACATGCTTTGTAAGTAGGAAAACCTGCAAAATCGGCAGTATATCAAATACTTGTTCTCCCCACTGTATATATATGGGGGATTGGAAGTGATGCAGACAATTACATTGATGGAAGTTACAATCTATCTGCAATATTAAAGCTGATCTACCTCCTAAAAAAAAAAGAGAAAAAAAGACGTTCATAAATGGCAAAACAGACAGTGACAAAATAAATCATAAGGAATAAGGTTTTGAAGTGTCTGTCCTATTTCTAGAAGTTATAAGAAAGCTCAGGAAATATATACATTTTTTGGACACACATTTAACCCCTTTTTTTGTTGGTACAAAACTACTTCCATACTTTCATTAATTATTTTAACCAGTACCGGGTTACCTTCAGATGAGTCCCGTGACACTTGTGGGGGGTTGTAGATCAAAACGGGGAACACCCTCATGTTGGTGAGAGTCTCATCTTTCCATAGAGTGGTCACATAGTTTTATAGTTTGTAGGCCAAACCGTTCTGACGTTTTTGGGAGAAGACCGATTTTCAGGATGTTTCCTGGTCTGACAAACAGTGCTGTAGCTCTGCCACTTTCCACAGCAGATGAGGAAGGCAGACACAGACGGATGCGGTGGATTGAGACGCAGCCCATACAAAAAAAAAACATCTCTATCTTAGACAGATTTTGATGGTGTTTTTATTATGTTAATTCGATTTTGACACACAGGTGCGTCAATCGACTCCTAAGGATTTTAAAACAGGTATTTTTCGGATATATTTGTGGTTTGTTTCTTTGACCTGATTCTCACCCTGTCCTATGTGATTCCAGGTGGACGTACCCAGACTTCTTCAACAGATACAGAGTCCTCATGAAGAAATCAGATATGACCATAGGAGACAAGAAGCTGGTGTGTAGGAACCTGCTGGAGACCCTGGTCAAGGTAAGAAAGAGTTGTTTCAGCCCTAAAGCCCCAAGCAAGATGGGAGAGGAAATGTACGAATAGATAGGAACTTGTTTTTCGTCGGAAGGTATCTCTTTTGGATTACTTTTGTTCCTCCCCTGGTTGAAGGATGTTGTTCTTTTCAACAGAGCTGCCTAACTCCTTCAGGAGCCGTCCATTGTTACATTATTGAACCTACTGCATGTCTGTTCTGATACAGTACATGTTAACTTTTCCATTGTTGGGAGGAAACAGCCTTGAATGTATAACCTGGGGAGTAACAGAGCTGTGGTCTCTAGGAATGGTGGAGAATTCAGTATGCACAGTCTGGGAGGTTTTCTCCAGTGGTGGAAAAAGTACCCAATTGTCTTACTTGAGTAAAAGTAAAGATACCTTAATAGAAAGTTACTCAAGTAAAAGTGAAAGTCAGCCAGTAAAATACTACTTGAGTAAAAGTCAAAAGGTATTTGGTTTTAAATATACTTAAGTATGAAAAGTAAATGTAATTGCTAAGAAATACTTAAGTATCAAAAGTAAAAGTATAAATCATTTAGAATTCCTATTATTTAGCAAAGCAGACAGCACAATTGTCTTGTTTTTTTAATTTTCAGATAGCCAGGGGCACACTCCAACACTCAGACATTATTTACAAAAGATGCATGTGTGTTTAGTGAGTCCGCCAGACCAGAGGCAGTAGGGATGACCACGTGTTCTCTTGATAAGTGCGTGAATTGGACTATTTTCCTGTCCTGCTAAGCATTAAAAATGTAATGAGTACTTTGGTTGTCAGGGAAAATGTATGGAGTAAAAAGTACAATAATTTCTTTAGGAATGTAGTGAAGTAAAAGTTGTCAAAAATATAAATAGTGAAGTACAGATACCCAAAAAAACTACTTAAAAGTACTTTTACTTAAGTACTTTACACCACTGGTTTTCTCTTGGTTTCTTGCTTCTCTCCATCTCTGTACATGAGCAAGAGTATATGGAGTTTATTCATGTTAATACATTATTACTGGAATATAATTTTTAGAAGCTTTGGACAGTATTTAATGGATTTCTTAGCGGGGTGGAAACGAATTAACCTCGTGTTTGATCATGCCCACTGAAGTAACTGCCTTGATGCTCAATTGATCGAACTGAAGTTCCATTTAACCAAATGAATTAATAGAAACAAAATGGACACGTCTTTCTCTCTCACCAGGACCCAGACAAGTTCCAGTTTGGTAAGACCAAGATCTTCTTTAGAGCGGGCCAAGTGGCCTACCTGGAGAAGCTGAGGGCAGACAAGTTCCGCTCCGCCTGCATCAAGATCCAGAAGACGGTGCGAGGCTGGCTGCAGAGGGTCCGCTACCAGAAGATCCGGAAGTCTGCCATCAACCTGCAGAGATATGGCCGTGGTTACATGGCCCGCAGGTGAGAGGAGAAACACTACGTTCTGTTACACTAACAAAGCAGCCGGTCAATTCAATTCAAATAATTGTATTTTTCTTGATAAATCAGTTCTTGATAAATCAGTTGACAAATCAGTTCTTGATAAATGAGTTATTGATAAATCAGCTCTTGATAAATCAGTTCTTGATAAATCAGTTCCTGATAAATCACCCAGTGTCATGAATCACTTATCCCAAATCGTTTAGTCAGTATCAGTGGCAGTGTTGTAAATTCTTTCCTCCTCTTTTTGCCGTCTGTCTCAGGTATGCGGAGCAGCTGCGTCTAACCCGCGCTACTCTAATCTGCCAGAAGCAGTATCGTATGGTCAGAGAGCGGAGGGACTATCTGAGAGTGAGACAGGCTGTTGTCACCATCCAGGCCTTTACCAGGGGCATGTTAACGCGCAGGATCTTCCAGGAGGTACTACAACCACAACACTACCTGTCATGTAACTGGCTCACCTTTTCATCTTCTCTTTCCTGGGTTTTGTATAGGGCAATTCCACGGTAACAGATTTTTCACTTTAAAATGTATACCAAACAAAAACCTATGATTGCAAAGTTAAACTAATCATACAACTCTTTGCACAAGGACTACTTTAAAAAAGTGTCGACTGACAATTTTACCAAAACAGATTTTCTTGAAGAACAGTGCAGATGCACAGTTTGGTAACAGAATGACAGTTTGTTGAAATGTATTATCTCTATCAGGAGTAAAGAGTTCCCTGAGAAGATGCCTCAGTGTTGGACTTGTTGTCCTGTTTGTGTGTCTGGAACATTGGAGACTAAGTGCCTCCGATTTGAAATGGAATGTGATCAGGCGGACCTTGCATAAATGCTGCCTTCTATGGTGCCTTCTCAGATACACTAGATTCCCTTTGGATTGAGATCTCTAGAATTTCCCCGACTGGGAATTCTGGAGTTACCTACATATTTCCCATCACATTGATTGTACGGGATAATAAATGGTTCCTTGTCTTTGATATCTACCTCCCTTCTCCACCTCCCCAGTTCCTTCTGCACCACAAAGCCATGATCATCCAGAAGCATGTCCGAGGCTGGCTCACCAAGAGGAAGTTCAGGCGGGCACAGAACGCCGCCATCACCATCCAGTGTGCCTACCGCCGCATGCGTGCCAAGCGTGAGCTGAAACAGCTGAAGATTGAAGCGAGGTCCGCACAACATCTGAAGAAGCTCAACTCGGGCATGGAGAACAAGATCGTCCAGCTGCAGAGGAAGATGGATGACCAGGTACAGTCAAAGTCACATGGTTCTGACCCATGACACTTTATAGGAGTACACTGTTCTGTAAGGCTAGTAGCCTACACAATGAGTGCCATTACATTTACATTTTAGTCATTTAGCAGACGCTCTTATCCAGAGCGACTTACAGTTAGTAAGTGCATACATTTTTTCATACTGGCCCCCCCGTGGGAATCGAACCCACAACCCTGGCGTTGCAAACGCCATGCTCTACCAACTGAGCTACACGGGACTGCCATAATGCAAAGACGGGTCAATGAAAGGACAATATTTTGACACGATATTCATTTCCATTTGCAGTCATATTTTGGCACAGCTAAAACGTTTAGCTAGACTAAACGCTCTGTAAATTATGTTAAAAAGTGATTGATTTGAAATTGATGTCCCATAGTAGTAACCAGAGCTCTCTCTCCTGTCTCACTGTTTAGACCAATGATCTGAAGACTCAGAATGAGCAGCTGGTTGTGGCCAAAGCCTCCCTGGGCTCAGAGGTGAACAAGCTGCAGAAGGAGCTGGAGATTATGCGCAGTCGCCAGGGAGACGGCAGTCAGCTGACCTCTCTTCAAGAGGAGCTGGAGAAGCTGAGGGCGGAGCTCCAGGAAGCACACACCCACATGAAGAAGCTGGAGGAGGAGCACAGCAGCGAGAAGATGGGACTGGAACAGGTGAGCTGTCAATCACTAAAGGGGCAAAAGTTAATTTTCCTTTTACAAGCCTGTCACTTGGGATTTTGTATGCTGTTAAAAAATAGTTGAGAGCAATCCTCTGCATCCATATGAACTAGGATGAATGGCGGCTGGACAGTACCTCAAGCTAGGACAGACTTTTTTATATTTAGCAGACAGGTTGCCATATTTCTCTGTCCATTTACATCATTCAGAGTTATTGGAGTACTGAACCTTGTATGTTTTTCAACGTCCTTCTTTTGAATGAATAAAATATTGTCTGAAATGCGTTGGTGAAAACAGCCGTTAAGTGCCTGAGTAACTACAGAAAATGCTTGTAGCAGCGTTTTTACTGAATGTAAAACACCTGATTCTCAAGGGATTTCCTCTAACAATCTCACAATGGATTTAACTGGACTGTATCAGTGTTCTCCTACTGACCTGAAAGTGATACAATGCATATCTTTTTGTATTGTTTTGGCCTCCTGACAGGAATTAGGAAAGTCATTGTTATGTACATTGGGTGTGGGCTTTTGCAGTGCCCCAGTGGTAATAGATACCCCTCTTTGGCCCTTTGATTCTCTCCAAGTCGGCCATTTTGTCACAATGCAGGGGCTGTCCCTGGCTCTCTAGCTCTGTCTGACATCACTATGAGAGCCTCACATACAGTAACTACCGATTTTTATAGTCACTTAAAGAGAAACGAAATAGACCTTTAGCTCACCTGTAGAGGGCCTTTAAAGTATGTAGCATCTATCGTGTTTCAAGGTTCCACACGGATTGAAGAAGCAAATGAAAATAGATCAAACAAAATAAATTGCTCTTGAACTTGTGCTCACGGCCACCCAGCTCCTTCTAATGTCTCTATTTCTTTATTTTATTCCTGCTCTTGTTCTTTTTTCTTTTTCTTAGAGAGTGGTGGAGCTGGAGAGGGAGAATTCTATGCTGAAGAGTGAAAAGGAGGAGATGAACCGAAGGATTCTGCGCCACTCCAAGAGCACAGAAGGTGAGTGCTTTTTAGATCTCCTACACTCTTCAAACCCCTAAAAGGGAAACGATAGCACTACAGTGATTTACAGGAGTGGTTGAAGGTAAAACGGTAGACTCACAGTTAGCCCTGCAGTCTGCTAACCCTGCCCTGTGGGGAGGGACGGCTTGCTTCCCCACACAAGAGGGGTTTCTGTTTGGAAGTAGGATGAGAGAAGCAGAAACTGCATCAAGTTACGCAGCAGCAATGTGAGACATTACTTTTAGTCAGCCATTGTTTAGCACTGGGTGCACGTGGGGAAGTGTCACCTATTATCTTTGAACTATGTATCTGTATATGTGCTAAATCTAAAGTCAGGATGTATAGGTAGACTATTGGTTATTAATTTTAAATCCTTTTGTCAATGGGCTTATTTTTGTCAATAAGAAGTCACTTATGGTTTACAGCATCATCATTTCTGAACATTACCACTGCTCTGTTATCTGAAGGCCATGTGCAATACTTCAACCAGGAGGTTTCATCACTGAGCAGTTAATAAAAGGAGATCATTTTACATAATAATGTCACCAGCCACCAGCCAGTCTTCTCTGGTGAAATTGAAATAGCTAGCCAGAGGCAGAGTAGAGTTATTGGTATAATCTGCTCTCTTTATCTGCAGTGTTACGATAGGGTTCTCTGGGGTCCCCTTGGGATGAGCGCTAGCACTGTGTACTTCAACATTATTGTGATTTTTCTTTTCTACTGCCAGAAAGAGCAACATGTTGTCCAGGCTGGTGTAATATGGAGCTAGGGATGTCTGGGCGGCAGGTAGCCTATCGGTTAAGAGCGCTGTGCCATAAAGCTTATTTCTCTCAAATTGTGTGCACAAATTTGTTTACATCCCTGTTTGTGAGCATTTCTCCTTTGCCAAGATAATCCATCCACCTGACAGGTGTGGCATATCAAGAAGCTAATTAAACAGCATGATCATTACACAGGTGCACCTTGTGCTGAGGACAATAAAAGGCCATTCTAAAATGTGCAGTTTCAAATCAAATCAAATTTTATTGGTCACATACACATATTTAGCAGATGTTATTGCGGGTGTAGCGAAATGCTTGTGTTCCTAGCTCCAACAGTGCAGTAGTATCTAACAATTCACAGCAATACACACAAATCTAAAAGTAAAAGAATGGAATTAAGAAATATAGAAATATTAGGACGAGCAATGTCGGAGTGGCATTGACTAAAATACAGTAGAAAAGAATACAGTATATACATATGAGATGAGATTAGTAAACAGTGACTAGTGTTCCATTATTAAAGTGGCCAGTGATTCCATGTCTATGTATATACAGTGAGGGAAAAAAGTATTTGATCCCCTGCTGATTTTGTACGTTTGCCCACTGACAAAGAAATTATCAATCTATAATTTTAATGGTAGGTTTATTTGAACAGTAAGAGACAGAATAACAACAAAAAAATCCAGAAAAACGCATGTCAAAAATGTTTTTAATGTTAATGAGGGAAATAAGTATTTGACCCCTCTCCAAAACATGACTTAGTACTTGGTGGCAAAACCCTTGTTGGCAATCACAGAGGTCAGACGTTTCTTGTAGTTGGCCACCAGGTTTGCACACATCTCAGGAGGGATTTTGTCCCACTCCTCTTTGCAGATCTTCTCCAAGTCATTAAGGTTTCGAGGCTGACGTTTGGCAACTCGAACCTTCAGCTCCCTCCACAGATTTTCCATGGGATTAAGGTCTGGAGACTGGCTAGGCCACTCCAGGTCCTTAATGTGCTTCTTCTTGAGCCACTCCTTTGTTGCCTTGGCCATGTGTTTTGGGTCATTATCATGCTGGAATACCCATCCACGACCCATTTTCAATGCCCTGGCTGAGGGAAGGAGGTTCTCACCCAAGATTTGACGGTACATGGCCCCGTCCATCGTCCCTTTGATGCGGTGAAGTTGTCCTGTCCCCTTAGCAGAAAAATACCCCCAAAGCATAATGTTTCCACCTCCATGTTTGACGGTGGGGATGGTGTTCTTGGGGTCATAGGCAGCATTTCTCCTCCTCCTGGTCTCATCTAACCACAACACTTTCACCCAGTTCTCCTCTGAATCATTCAGATGTTCATTGGCAAACTTCAGATGGGCATGTATATGTGCTTTCTTGAGCAGGGGGACCTTGCGGGCGCTGCAGGATTTCAGTCCTTCACGGCATGGTGTGTTACCAATTATTTTCTTGGTGACTATGGTCCCAGCTGCCTTGAGATCATTGACAAGATCCTCCCGTGTAGTTCTGGGCTGATTCCTCACCGTTCTCATGATCATTGCAACTCCACGAGGTGAGATCTTGCATGGAGCCCCAGGCCGAGGGAGATTGACAGTTATTTTGTGTTTCTTCCATTTGCGAATAATCGCACCAACTGTTGTCACCTTCTCACCAAGCTGCTTGGCGATGGTCTTGTAGCCCATTCCAGCCTTGTGTAGGTCTACAATCTTGTCCCTGACATCCTTGGAGAGCTCTTTGGTCTTGGCCATGGTGGAGAGTTTGGAATCTGATTGATTGATTGCTTCTGTGGATTGGTGTCTTTTATACAGGTAACAAACTGAGATTAGGAGCACTCCCTTTAAGAGTGTGGTCCTAATCTCAGCTCGTTACCTGTATAAAAGACGCGTGGGAGACAGAAATCTTTCTGATTGAGAGGGGGTCAAATACTTATTTCCCTCATTAAAATGCAAATCAATTTATAACATTTTTCACATGCGTTTTTCTGGATTTTTTTGTTGTTATTTTGTCTCTCACTGTTCAAATAAACCTACCATTAAAATTATAGACTGATCATTTCGTTGGCAGTGGGCAAATGTACAAAATCAGCAGGGGATCAAATACTTTTTTCCCTCACTGTAGGGCAGCAGCCTCTAAGGTGCAGGGTTGAGTAACGTGGTGGTAGCCGGCTAGTAATGACTATTTAACAGTCTGATGGCCTTGAGATAGAAGCTGTTTTTCAGTCTCTCTGTCCCAGTTTTGATGCACCTGTACTGACCTCGCTTCTGGATGATAGCGGGGTAAACAGGTCGTGGCTCGGGTGGTTGATGTCCTTGATGATATTTTTGCCCTTCCTGTGACATTGGGTGCTGTAGTTGTCCTGGAGGGCAGGCAGTGTGCCCCCAGTGATGCGTTGGGCAGACCGCACCACCCTCTGGAGAGCCCTGCGGTTGCGGGCGGTGCAGTTGCCATACCAGGCGGTGATACAGCCTGACCAGATGCTCTCAATTGTGCATCTGTAAAGGTTTGTGAGGGTTGAATTTCTTCAGCCTCCTGAGGTTGAAGAGGCGCTGTTGCGCTTTCTTCACCACACTGTTTGTAGCCATGAAGTGTTTTGAAACGCTGGTCATGGCTCACATCAACACCATTATCCCAGAAACCCTAGACCCACTCCAATTTGCATACCACCCCAAGAAATCCACAGATGATGCAATCTCTATTGCACTCCACACTGCCCTATCCCACCTGGACAAGAGGAACACCTACATGAGAATGCTATTCATTGACTACAGCTCAGCTTTCAACACCATAGTGCCCTAAAAGCTCATCACTAAGCTAAGGACCCTGGGACTAAACACCTCCCTCTGCAACTGGATCCTGGACTTCCTGACGGGCCGCCCCCCGGTGGTAAGGGTAGGTAACAACACATCTGCCACGCTGATCCTCAACACGGGGGCCCCTCAGGGGTACGTGCTCAATCCCCTCCTGTACTCCCTGTTCACCCATGACTGTATGGCCAGGCACGACTCCAACACCATCATTAAGTTTGCCGATGACACAACAGTGGTAGGCCTGATCACCAACAACGATGAGACAGCCTATAGGGAGGAGGTCAGCGACCTGGCCGTGTGGTGCTAGGACAACAACCTCTCCCTTCACGTGATCAAGACAAAGGAGATGATTGTGGACTACAGGGGAAAAAAAGAGGACTGAGCACGCCCCCATTCTCATCGACAGGTTGAGAGCTTCAAGTTCCTTGGTGTCCACATCACCAACAAACTATCATGGTCCAAACACACCAAGACATTTGTGAAGAGGGCACGACAAAGTCTATTCCCCCTCAGGAGACTGAAAAGATTTGGTATGGGTCCTCAGATCCTCAAAAAGTTATGCAGCTGCACCATCGAGAGCATCCTGACTGGTTGCATCACTGCCTGGTATGGCAACTGCTCGGCCTCCGACCCCAAGGCACTACAGAGGGTAGTGCATATGGCCCAGTACATCACTGGAGCCAAGCTTCCTGCCATCCAGGACCTCTATACCAGGCGGTGTCAGAGGAAGGCCCTAACAATTGTCAAACACTCCAGACACTCTAGTCATAGACTGTTCTCTCTGCTACCACACGGCAAGCGGTACCGGAGCGCCAAGTCTAGGTCCAAAAGGCTTCTTAACAGCTTTTACCCCCAAGCCATAAGACTCCTGAACAGCTAATCAAATGGCTACCCAGACTATTTGCATTGTCCCCCCCACCCCACCCCACCCCCTCTTTTACGCTGCTGCTACTCTCTGTTTATTATCTATGCATAGTCACTTTAACTGTACCCACATGTACAGTGGGGAAAAAAAGTATTTAGTCAGCCACCAATTGTGCAAGTTCTCCCACTTAAAAAGATGAGAGAGGCCTGTAATTTTCAACATAGGTACACGTCAACTATGACAGACAAATTGAGAAAAAAAAATCCAGAAAATCCCATTGTAGGATTTTTAATGAATTTATTTGCAAATTATGGTGGAAAATAAGTATTTGGTCACCTACAAACAAGCAAGATTTCTGGCTCTCACAGACCTGTAACTTCTTCTTTAAGAGGCTCCTCTGTCCTCCACTCGTTACCTGTATTAATGGCACCTGTTTGAACTTGTTATCAGTATAAAAGACACCTGTCCACAACCTCAAACAGTCACACTCCAAACTCCACAATGGCCAAGACCAAAGAGCTGTCAAAGGACACCAGAAACAAAATTGTAGACTTGCACCAGGCTGGGAAGACTGAATCTGCAATAGGTAAGCAGCTTGGTTTGAAGAAATCAACTGTGGGAGCAATTATTAGGAAATGGAAGACATACAAGACCACTGATAATCTCCCTCAATCTGGGGCTCCACGCAAGATCTCACCCCGTGGGGTCAAAATGATCACAAGAACGGTGAGCAAAAATCCCAGAACCACACGGGGGGACCTAGTGAATGACCTGCAGAGAGCTGGGACTAAAGTAACAAAGCCTACCATCAGTAACACACTACGCTGCCAGGGACTCAAATCCTGCAGTGCGAGACGTGTCCCCCTGCTTAAGCCAGTACATGTCCAGGCCCGTCTGAAGTGCATTTGGATGATCCAGAAGAGGATTGGGAGAAAGTCATATGGTCAGATGAAACCAAAATATAACTTTTTGGTAAAAACTCAACTCGTCATGTTTGGAGGACAAAGAATGCTGAGTTGCATCCAAAGAACACCATACCTACTGTGAAGCATGGGGGTGGAAACATCATGCTTTTGGGCTGTTTTTCTGCAAAGGGACCAGGACGACTGATCCGTGTAAAGGAAAGAATGAATGGGGCCATGTATCGTGAGATTTTGAGTGAATACCTCCTTCCATCAGCAAGGGCATTGAAGATGAAACGTGGCTGGGTCTTTCAGCATGACAATGATCCCAAACACACCGCCCGGGCAACGAAGGAGTGGCTTCGTAAGAAGCATTTCAAGGTCCTGGAGTGGCCTAGCCAGTCTCCAGATCTCAACCCCATAGAAAATCTTTGGAGGGAGTTGAAAGTCTGTGTTGCCCAGCGACAGCCCCAAAACATCACTGCTCTAGAGGAGATCTGCATGGAGGAATGGGCCAAAATACAAGCAACAGTGTGTGAAAACCTTGTGAAGACTTACAGAAAACGTTTGACCTGTGTCATTGCCAACAAAGGGTATATAACAAAGTATTGAGAAACTTTTGTTATTGACCAAATACTTATTTTCCACCATCGTTTGCCAATAAATTCATTAAAAATCCTACAAAGTGATTTTCTGGATTTTTTTTTCTCATTTTGTCTGTCATAGTTGACGTGTACCTATGATGAAAATTACAGGCCTCTCTCATCTTTTTAAGTGGGAGAACTTGCACAATTGGTGGCTGACTAAATACTTTTTTTCCCCACTGTACATATTACCTCAATTACCTCAACTAACCGGTGCTCCCGCACATTGACTCGGTACCGGTACCCCCTGTATATAGCCTCCCTACTGTTATTTTATTTTACTGCTGCTCTTTAATTATTTGTTATTTTTATTTTTTACTTATCTATTTTTTTACTTAACACTGCATTGTTGGCTAGGGGCTTGTAAGTAAGCATTGTAAGGTCTACACCTGTTGTATTCGGCGCATGTGGCAAATAACATTTGATTTGAATTGGACCATTTCAGATTGTCAGTGACGTGTACGCCGAGGAACTTGAAGCTTTCCACCTTCTCCACTGCAGTCCCGTCGATGTGGATAGGGGGTGCACCCTCTGCTGTTTCCTGAAGTCCACGATCAGCTCCTTTTTTTTCTTGACATTGAGGGAGAGCTTATTTTCCTGGCACCACTCCGCTAGGGCCCTCACCTCCTCCCTGTAGGCTGTTTCGTCATTGTTGGTAATCAGGCCTACTACTGTTGTGTCATCTGCAAACTTGATGATTGAGTTGGAGGCATGCATAGCCACGCAGTCATGGGTGAACAGGGAGTACAGGAGGGGGCTGAGCAGGCACCCTTGTGGGGCCCCAATGTTGAGGATCAGTGAAGTGGAGGTGGTGTTTCCTACCTTCACCACCTGGGGGCGGCCCGTCAGCAAGTCCAGGACCTAGTTGCACAGGGCGAGTTTCAGACCCAGGGCCCCGAGCTTAATGATGAGCTTGGAGGGTACTATGGTGTTGAAGGCTGAGCTATAGTCAATTTTGTCACAGAACACAATGCCACAGATGTCTCAAGTTTTGAGTGAGCATGCGATTGACATGCTGACTGCAGGAATGTCCACCAGAGCTGTTGCCAGAGAATTGAATGTTATTTCTCTACCATAAGCCGCCTCCAATGTTGTTTTAGAGAATTTGGCAGTACGTCCAACCCGCCTCACAACCGCATACCACATGTAACCACGCCAGCCCAGGAGCTCCACATCCGGCTTCTTCACCTGCGGGATCGTCTGAGACCAGCCACCCGGACAGCTGATGAAACTGTGTGTTTGCACAACCGAAGAATTTCTGCACAAACTGTCATAAACTGTCTCAGGGAAGCTCATCTGCGTGTTCTTCATCCTCACCAGGGTCTTGACCTGACTGCGGTACGGGGTCGAAACCGATTTCAGTGGGCAAATCCTCACCTTCGATGGCCACTGGCACGCTGGAGAAGTGTGCTCTTCACGGATGAATGCCGGTTTTAACTGTACCGGGCAAATGGCAGACAGCGTGTATTGCGTCGTGTGGGCGAGTGGTTTGCTGATGTTGACGAACAGAGTGCCCCATGGTGGCGGTGGGGCTATGGTATGGGCAGGCATAAGCTAAAGGATAACGAACACAATTGCATTTGATCAATGGCAATTTGAATGCACAGAGATACCGTGACGAGATCCTGAGGCCCATTGTCGTGCCATTCATCCACCGACATCCCCTCATGTTTCAGCATGATAATGCACGGCCCCATGTTGCAAGGATCTGTACACAATTCCTGGAAGCAGAAAATGTCCCAGTTCTTCCATGGCCTTGCAAACTCACCAGACATGTCACCCATTGCACATGTTTGGGACGCTCTGGATCGACGTGTATGACAGTGTGTTCCAATTCCCGCCAATATCCAACAACTTTACACAGCCATTGAAGAGGAGTGGGACAACGTTCCACAGGCCACAATCAAGAGTCTGATCAACTCTATGCGAAGGATGTCGCGCTGCATGAGGCAAATAAATGGTGGTCACACCAGATACTGACTGGTTTTCTGATCCACACCCCTACCTTTTGTTTAAGGTACACTATATATACAAAAGTATGTGGACACCCCTTCAAATTAGTGGATTCGGCTATTTCAGCCGCTACTATTGCTGACAGGTATATAAAATCGAGCACACAGCCATGCAATCTCCATCAACAAACATTGGCAGTAGAATGGCCTTAATGAAGAGCTCAGCGACTTTCAACTTGGCATCGGCCACCTTTCCAACAAGTCAGTTCATAAAATTTCTGCCCTGCTAGAGCTACCCCGGTCAACTGTAAGTGCTATTATTGTTAAGTGGAAATGTCTAGAAGCAACAACGGCTCAGCCACGAATGGTAGGCTACACAAGCTCACAGAACGTGACCGCCGAGTGCTGAAGCGTGTAGCTTGTAAAATTAGTCTGTCCTCGGTTGCAACACTCACTACCGAGTTCCAAACTGCTTCTGGAAGCAATGTCAGCACAATAAATGTTCGTTCATCGGGAGCTTCATGAAATGGGTTTCCATGTATTGTATTTGTATTTATTATGGATCCCCATTAGCTGCTGCCGAACAGCCGCACAAAAGTGCTATTCTTGTGTGTGTACGCCTGTGTGTGAAGGCCTTTTCCTGTTTCAGCATAACAATGCCCCCGTGCACAAAGCGAGGTCCATTCAGAAATGGTTTGTCAAGATCGGTGTGGAAGAACTTGACTGGCCTGCACAGAGCCCTGAGCTCAACCCCATCGAACACCTTTGGGATGAAATGGAACGCTTACTGCGAGCCAGGCCTAATCGCCCAACATCAGTGCCCAACCTCACTAATGCTCTTGTGGTTGAATGGAAGCAAGTCCCCGCAGCAATATTCCAACATCTAGTGTAAAGCCTTCCCAGAAGAGTGGAGGCTGTTATAGCAGCAAAGGGGGGACCAACTCCATATTAATGCCCATGATTTTGGAATGAGATGTTTGACTAGCAGGTGTCCACATTCTTTTGGTCATGTAGTGTATCTGTGACCAACAGATGCATGTCTCTATTCCCAGTCGTGTGAAATCCATAGTTTAGGGCCTAATGAATGTATTTCAGTTGACTGATTTCCTTATATGAACTGTAACTCAATAAAATTGTTGAAATTGTTGCATGTTTATATTTTTGTTCAGTGTGTAAGTAGAGACTAAGTTGGAAGTGAATGAAAATGATTGATGTGGACTGGTCCTTTGTGTCTGTGTTTCAGACCAGGAGAGCAGTGCATCCCAGAGTGTGGGTCGGGTCCAGGCAGAGCTGGATGAGGAGAGGCAGCGCTACCAGAACCTGCTCAGGGAGTTCTCCAGACTGGAGCAGAGATATGACAACCTACAGGAGGCCAAGGTAACTGTGTGCGTGCGCCTGTGTGTGCATCCGTGCACATGTGCATGTAAGTGTCCTATGCCAAGATAATGTCCAATGGTTCTCTGTCTCCTTCTACCCTTCAGTTCCAACCTGGCCACAGGAGAAACAATTCTACTCAGAGCAGCCTGGAGTCTGACTCCAACTATCCTTCCATTTCTACCTCGGAGGTGGGAGACGCTGACGATGCCATCCAGCTCGTAGAGGTAAGACCCTCTTAACCAGTATGAACCAGTATAATCCAGTCTTATACAGTCTGTACATAGTTGCTTGTGCTAGGTTTTTGTTGTGACCTGACATTGTCACCCTGCAGGAGATGGGAGTGGAGAAGGCAGCAATGGACATTGGTGTGTTCATGAAGCTGCAGAAGCGTGTTAGAGAGTTGGAACAGGAGAGGAAGAGACTGCAAGTCAACCTGGAAAAGATGGAGGACCAGGCTAAGGGCAAGGTGGGCCCATGTCTCAGTCTAGTGTAGTGTTCTTTTCTAGCTTGTTTTTGTATGCTTCTAAAAGATTTACACAGAAGTTTCTCCCATTACTGCAGGTTGAGCTTTTGATCTTAAAAATATTTTGTCTTGAATACCTTTAAGTTTAAGATCAGGATCGTGATTGTGATCCTCAAGCTTGGTGCTTGGGTAATAACATTGCATAATAGCTGCCTGCCTCCACCTTATCAACCCGAAGTGGAATAAATACTTTTTACTATCTTGCTTAGGGAATTGATCCAAAGACCACGTCAGAGCAAGAGAGTGAGGACCTGGCCTACAACAGTCTCAAGGTACAGATCCATCCACTGCCACACATATACACACACTAACATACATACATACATACACACATGCACGGACAGTGTGCGGTACTAGTCTGCAGTGGGATGTCTCTATTTGTGGTGTTCGATTTCTTCTTCACTCTGGCTGTTCTGCTGCCTTTGGCCGTCCTGCCTCTGAAACTGTGGGTGAGTAGAACTTCCAGAGGATAGAGAGAGATACTGGCAGGCAGGCAGGCAGGGCATGGGTACATGGTAGGATAGAGAGAGATACTGGCAGGCAGGCACGGCATGGGTACATGGTATAATTTAGGCAAAAGAGAGCGGTTTGTGGAGAGAGTTGGGTAGAGATGCCGGTGGGACAGGCAGGATTTGGGTGAGAGCGAGAGAGAGGTGGGTGGGAATAGAGTGACGGGGTTGCAGCAGGGATGCTCTGATGGGAGGGTGCCATGTAGAGAGAGAGACCACACTGATGGGCACCCCTGGGGCAGAATTTGATGTTCAGGTAATGTGTAAAGGGAAAGAACACGCAAACACAGAGACCATTTTCTTTTATGTGCCTTGGTGAGAGAGAACCACTCTCTCTTGCTTTTGGCATGGATAATAAATCATTAACTTCTATGGCATAGTAGAGCTAAACAGTGTGATTAAGACGGATGCATTACAAGATTATCAGAAGAGTCCGTCTCAAAGTGCTCTTTGAATTGAGTCAAGTGAGAGTTCAAAGTACAAGAGAATACAATTTTAACATTTTGCTGTGGAATACTTACTTCACTTACACTAAAAATAGCTAAAACGACACTATTGTATTGTGAGAGTAAATAGGTTTTGTTCTTTGCATTCTGTGACATGAATGATGACTGCTACAGTACTGTAAATCATAAACTTTGTAATATGAGCAAAATTTGAATATTTGTTTTATGTTACAACAGAAATAGATATATGGAAAATAATAAATGAAAATGTGATATGAACTGAATATATGAAAAGATTTGTACCTGTAACCCCAAAAAATTGGCCCATCTCTACAGGGGGCTTGCTTTTTGCATCTCGGTCAATAGCACCATAATAGCACAAGCCACATGGTTTAGATTTGATATGGTTTGAGCCATTAGTCCTACTGTAGCTGAGCAAAATGTCACTGCAGAGAGAGAGTTGAGCACTATAAGTCACTGGTACGGTATCTTAGAATATTAATAATCTTGTCAGTCTATCCATTTATCAACTGCAGTAGTCTGAAAGCCAAGGGTGGCTTTTACCTACATTCCTTAGCTCAGGGCCTGCAAGTGATTTTTATTTGGGCCCCCAAACGTTTTTGTTTTGGTCTCCCCAACATTTCCATTAATCACTAGGAATTCAGCTAAAAATCTGTTTAATTTAGGAAATCTGTTTCCAAGTATTCCCACAAATAAAAAGACGTGATCGTGTCTCAATGTAATCAAGGTATGAAATGATTTGTTATTTTCAAATACAATCTCTTTTTGGGCTTAGTTGTGGTCACTTTGCAGTGTACAAGTTATTATAATTATTTTCCGGTCCTTCGACCATTCGCTCCGACAATAATCGGCTCAGGTTGCCTACCCCTGCCATACTGTAGCTAAATAGCTACTTGCTATAGCTAAAATGAATATCAACTACAAAAGGTTTTGATGTCTCTAAAAATATTTACTTACTAAGCTACTCACAATGAGCACGGTTACATGCACACAATAATACTATTATTATGGATAGTCAGATTACTATAATAGATTGTTTAAAACGTTTACATGCTTTGCAAGAAAAATGATTTCCCTAATAATCCTGTTTCCATGGACACATCTGAAATCAGGCTTCCTGATGGGACTCTGATAAATGCAGAAAATCGGTATTCAAAATAAACATTCTATCATGGTGACCATGTTGTTTTTGTGACGCCAATTTGATTCTGAGTTTGGATATATAAAGTCTGTTTGCCAAAATTATTTGTAAGATGTATTCTTTCAGTTTTTCCGAACTCACTTCACTCGCGCATAAGAGGGAGGCTTGCACTACCGGTGCTGTCACATGCCTAGATAAAATACACTGCTGGAACGCCGACTAAGCTGTTTACATGTCCTAATAATTCAAAAGATTGCTCAGAAAACCAGGTGGTTTAATCAGCGTATGCTTACATCGATTATGACCGTACACCGATTAAAATAAGCAGAGTAAGGCGTTTACATGACTATTTCCATACTCGGCCTACTGCCATAATCAGTTTAATATAAAATGATTAGTGTGCATGTAAACATACTCAATGTGGCAGCAATCACATATTATTCTGCTCTACAGTGAGTGTACAAAACATTAAGAACACCTTCCTAATATTGAGTTGCACCCCCCCCCTTTGCCCTCAGAACAGCTTCAATTTGTCGGGACTCTACAAAGTGTCTAAAGCGTTCCACAGGGATGCTGGCCCATGTTGACTCCAATGCTTCCCACAGTGGTGAAGGTGGCTGGATGTCCTTTGGGTGGTGGACCATTCTTGATACACACGGGAAACTGTTGAGCATGAAAAACTCAGCAGCGTTGTAGTTCTTGACACAAACAGGTGTGCCTGGCACCTACTACCATAACCTGTTCAAAGGCACTAAAATATTTTGTTTTGCCCATTCACCCTCTGAATGGCACACATACACAATCCATGTCTCAGTTGTCTCGAGGCTTAAAAATCCTTATTTAACCTGTCTCCTCCCCTTCATCTACACTGATTGAAGTGAATTTAACAAGTGACATCAATAAGGGATCATAGCTTTCACCTGGATTCACCTGGTCAGTCTATGTCATGGAAAGAGCAGGTGTTCTTAATGTTTTGTACACTCATTGTATATTACTTTATTACTTTTATTGTTATCAATCACTGTCATTCTTTCCCACATTGAGCCTTGGTATTTAATCACTTTTATAACCAATGATTACCTAAGCTCAATTTTAGATTGCCAATAAATCTCTTTGTACTTTGGCCGTGTGTTTCCACAGAGGCAGGAGCTGGAGTCTGAGAACAAAAAGCTGAAGAACGACCTGAACGAACTGAGGAAGGCCATCGCTGACCACGCCTCCCAGAACAGCTCCTCCAATGAGCTGCAGGACGGCTACAACCTGCTGCTTGGCCAGCTCAAAGCAGCCAATGAGGAGCTGGAAGTGCGCAAGGAGGAGGTCCTCATCCTCAGGACTCAGATTGTCAGTGCAGCCCATCAGAAAGAGGAGACAACCAATCACATCGTAAGTTGACAAACTGGGAGTTAAGTTGACATGGCTTTGGTTGCCTGTACTTGGGAAATGCAGCATTGATTGTCCAGTTTATATGTCCCTGTTTGCTTATCAAAAGGTTATCTACAGACACATTAAGGACGGCTGATATACTTTTCTTGTTTGTGACTCTGGTTTGATGGGCAACATGATTATAATGTGGTGAAATTTTATTGGGTCAAATCAGCCATATGATGAAAAGCACATGATAGTCAGTCCTGTATATTATGGACTTCAGTGACTAGCTTCTTACACAAAACAAAAAAGTTGAATAAGACATTTGATCAAATGTTACATTCTAGTTGGGTTCAGACAAAGGTACATTTTAGTCATTTAGCAGACGCTCTTATACAGAGCTACTTACTGTAGTGAGTGCATACATTTTCATACTTTTTCGTACTGCTCTCCCGTGGTAATCGAACCCACAACCCTGGCGTTGATACCAGAGAAACTTGTCATAACAGCCATGCTCTACCAACTGAGCCACATGGGACCATTAATATGTATAGACTAGTATGTAACTAGAGAGTCTCATTATGAGACTTTTGACAGAGACTGGCCTCCAAGTCAGACCTCCAACTGAGATGGGACTAGGAGTGTAAAAGACTGGGAGTCGATGGCAGATCAGTCCTAACATGGTAATGTTCCTACAGTGTATTCATCTGAAGTTATGTCCTGATGAAGAGCGTAACGTTTGGTTTGGGAGCTCAGACTCAAGGACAGGAGACTAGAAAGGACGATGGTGTGGAAAGCAGAAGAACAAACAGCTTTTAATCACAGAGGCGTATCTCTCCAATTCTCATTCCCCCTCACGCCTCACAAAGACATTTCCCTAACAGAGAGAGAGAGATGTGGCAGAAGGAGGAGGAGATCACTGTCAGTATCATGACTCTCTTTATGTGGCTGTCTAGTTAATATATCAGACTACTGAGCTGCTCTCTCCCAGTCCCACCTTCTAGGTTAGTGGAGGATATGCTTGGCATGTCATACTCCTTTGAAGGATGTGATTATGATTGACATGTTTTGCCCTCAGAGATGATGGCCTGTCTCTCTGATTATTCCTTCCCCAATTGTTTAAGCTGATTGGTTCAGATGCTGAGCTAGACTGGTATGAAAGTGTGTTGAGGACAGTTTTACTACAATATACTGTATGACAGGTTTATCAGTGAGTATTAAACACTGATTGAGTTTGATCTAAAGAGGAAAAAAGATTAATCGATAAATGTCTGCATGATTCATTACCTTATAAAGCAGTTGTATCCACCAACTCTCTCCCAATGTCTTTACTACCTCCACGACGCCGTCACAAATTGACCTGTATGTCTCGCCCTCTCCTCTTCATAGGAAACCAATAACGCGCCTGAATGGACCGACAGCAAGAAGCCCATAGACAAGGAGGAGGCTGTGAGGGCCTACCATGGACTCTGTGAGTCTAAGAAGTACGTTTGTCTTTCTTTACCTCCTATTGTGAGTGCAGTAATAGAAAACAAACAGGCCTGTGATGAATATGGACATTTCTGGTTTTTCTCTCATACCCACTAGTGCACAGAATGGGCAGCAATGTTTTTCAATGTAAATATCACATTGTTACTTATGGATTGACAGGGTGAAATGGAAATGGGTTAATTTGTCACACTGGTGGTTCAGCTTTCATTCTATGTGACTACATACAATTCCGTAAGTGTTGCCTACTGTAGTTTTGTCCAACTGGAGATTGCCTAGAGACGTTCACTACTGTACCTCTATGCCCAGCTTTCAGTTCTACTGCCAACATCAGTCAGTTGTAGTCCAACAGACACCGCTTAGCTACAGTATGTTCAACGTAAGAGAAGATAACAGAATGACTTTATTGTCCCCATGGGGACATGCGGCTCTGTGCATACATAAAAACACATAATCAGGGATTGACAGAGGACACACACAGACAATAAAAAGTTCAGTTCATGAGCGATTTAACGATCATCTGCACACTACAGTATATACACTATACACAATAGAACGCTCTGTCAACTTCAATGTTAGCTGTAGGCCAGTCCGCTGGTCCTACTGGTGGTTTTCAACGTTCAGGAGCCTTACTACCGCTGGGATCGTTTGGCTCAAACTCCTGCTAAAGAGGATGTCTGAGGTCCATCAGTACCTGACAGACAGACAGACAAACAAACCAAAAAGCTCTTTTAGTGCAGATTTTTCCAAATGAAAATTTTAACTAGGCTAGCCCCGAGAGGCAGTTCAGAAATATCACAGAGGGTTGGAATTTTCCTTTCAGGGTAACATCAGGTCACCTTTCTGATCAAAACTGGCCCCATCATTCTGAAGTTCTGGTGACATATTGATGGCAAACTGCAATGCTTTTGATTCCACCCCATTGTCGTCGCCCCCCCCCCTCCCCCCTCTCAGATTACCAGGGAGGGAAGACATTTGTGTTGCTCATGATGAGCCACTCGAAGCACACAGATTCATCTCGACTCAGAGCAATCTTCCATTCCCTCGTGATCTATTCCTGTCCTTTTTATTTATCTTTCATTCTCTGTGTCCCGGCCCGGCTGGAGGATTCTAGCCTAGACACCATGCTGATTTAACATCTCTGTTGTGTCTGGAGAGCAGAACCTTTTAACCTTTAGGGAAGTGTTAGACATTGTCGTTATGGCAACATGACCCTGCAGATAGATGGCAGTAATGAGAGGCAGGTGGCCATATAATGACACCCTCTCACCCTGCAGAAATGATCTGGTTTTAAAAGGGTGAACATCCCTGTGGGTCTAGGTGCATATGGAAGCTTTTGCCTAGAGAGAGGTCCATCACTGTGCTTTAGAGGAGATGGTAGTCTGTGTCTGTCTCTGTCTGTCTGTCTGTGCCAGTTCGCGCGTGTGTGTGAGGGCTTTTTGCTATGTCAGCTATAAGATTTTAACTGCAAAATCTCTGGTTCCTCTTGAGGTTTCTGCTCTACCTCTCTGTGGTGCTAACTCCTCTTGCTCTGTTCTGTTTTCTCATGTCAATTTTTTTTCACTTCCATTTCTCTCCCTTCCACTCTTCCTTCCTCTCTCTTTCTTTCTTCCTTCCTCTCTCTTTCTTTCTTCCTCCCTCTCTCTTTCTTCCTTCCTTCTTCTCTCTTCTTCTTCCTTCCTCTCTTTCTTTCTTCCTTCCTCTCTCTTTCTTTCTTCCTTCCTTCCTCTCTCGTTCTTCCTTCCTCTCTCGTTCTTCCTTCCTCTCTCTTTCTTCCTTCCTCTCTCTTTCTTCCTTCCTTCCTCTCTCTTTCTTTCTTCCTCTCTCTCTCTCTCTCTCTCTCTCTCTCTCTCTCTCTCTCTCTCTCTCTCTCTCTCTCTCTGTCTCTGTCTCTGTCTCTCTCTCTCTCTCTCTCTCCCCCCCCCCTCCCTCCTGCCTTGCCGGCGACAGCAGAGCTTCAGACTGGGGTTATTTGAATGAAGATGGCGAGCTGGGCCTGGCATACCAGGGTCTAAAGCAAGTGGCCAGGTTGTCGTCTTCTGCTTTCCTTCTCTACTTACTGCCTTCATGCTTAATCTCCTACCCTCTTCCTATGTCTGTGGTAAAATGGAAATAATTTAATGGGACAAAAAGAAGCTCAAACTGTGGCGGTTATGATGTAAATGACATATGAAACCATATTGAATACAGTAAGTCTCCACACTATGGTACAGGAATTCTACAAGGTAGAAGTTTGTGAAGGTTTGGTCAGCTTTAGACGTATTGTAACCACCCCCTCTCTCTTTCGTCTTCTCCCTGTCTGCCCCTCACCTCCTCTCTCCCAGGCTGCTGGAGGCCCAGCTTCAGTCTCAGGCCAGGAAGCACGAGGATGAGCTGGCGGCGTTCAACACCCAGATTGAGCTGCTGAAGGATGACATAGAGAAGAAACAGGAAATGCTGAACCACACCATGTCTCTGTCTCCTGAGGCCCAGGTGGAGTACAGCATCCAGCAGGAGATCACCCGCCTCACCAACGACAACCTAGTGAGTACAATATCTACCCCCCCCACTCCATCCATAGAATCTTATTCATAATGAGCTAAAAGGTTAAACTAATCCTATATCAGCACTCCTCCTCTGAGACTCTTTGTGAATACGGGCCCAAGGACACCTATTGGCCCAGAGCTCTGTTGTGTTGACTGTCTTGAATGTTTCTGCTACTACAGGACTTAAAAGAGCTTGTGGAGAAACTGGAGAAGAACGAGAGGAAGCTGAAGAAGCAGCTGAGGATTTACATGAAGAAAGTACCAGAGGTGGAAGGTGAGAGAGCTGGAGGTACTAATGAATATTGTCTGTATTGGTCTCACTGAGCTGTAATAAAGGCCTACTGATGGACCTACAGTATGATGGTTAATATGCATTACTATGACTGTTATTGCAATATTAGTGACCACTTTGTCTTCTTCCCTGTCTGGTGTCTGTGACTGCAGCATCATCCCAGTCCACCAAGGCCAAGCCACAGCTGACCCGCCAGGTGACTGTCCAGCGCAGAGAGAAGGACTTTGAGGGCATGCTGGAGTACTACAAGGAGGATGAGGCCCTGCTGGTCAAAACACTCATCACTGGTACGATGTGGCAACTCAAATCAGCTATGATAGGACAGCATCACAAGTACAACACCTGTCCAGTCCAGAACATATCATTATATTCTCAAATCCACACGATGACTACAATGATCACTGGAATAGTGGATGAACTTGTTCCAATGTTATTGAAATGTAATATTATTGTAATAACTGCATGTTATTGAAATGTAATGTTATTGTAATAACTGTATGTTATTGTGACCTAAAATGTGCTGTTTGGTGTTTCCAGAAATGAAGCCCCAGGCTGTATCAGCCACAGTTCCCTGTCTACCTGCCTACATCCTCTTCATGTGCATCCGCCATGCAGACTACATCAACGATGACCAGAAGGTCCACTCTCTGCTCACCTCCTCCATCAACGCCATCAAGAAGGTCCTCAAGGTATAGATACAGAGTTCTATTCACACATATGGATGGAGACTTCACACATACTTTAATATCTGTTTGCAATGGATCTTTGGAAGTCAATTGCGAGGAAAGATTGGTCAGAAATACAGTACAGCGATTCTGGTATTTAACACACTTTCATTTTACAATTCCACTGCAGAAAAACAATAATGACTTTGAGATGACCTCCTTCTGGCTGGCCAACACGAGTCGTCTGCTGCACTGTCTCAAACAGTACAGTGGAGATGAGGTGAGACTTATTGATCTTTCAGAGATTATTGTGCTCATTATAAACTGTGAAGAGATGCTAGATGTTCAGTACTTGAGCTCATTGAAATATACAATCGGATTACTCCTTGATCTCTCTACATACACAATGCATTTTAAAGATTACAGACTTTTCTAGAGCAACATAAATACACTTGTTGTAAACACTCTACAAAATGTAACTCTCTACAACTGTCATCCCTGTCTTGTTGTGTGTTCCCAGGCCTTTATGACTCAGAACACAGCCAAGCAGAATGAGCACTGTCTGAAGAACTTTGACCTGGCAGAGTACCGCCAGGTGCTGAGTGATCTCTCCATTCAGATCTACCAGCAGCTCATCAAGGTGGCAGAGCACATGATGCAGCCCATGATCGGTGAGGAGCTGGGGGAGCTAAGGGCCAAGAGCTGTATGGTCCAGAAGTTAGGGACAATGGAATTGGAAATGGACCAACTTATTCTTCATTCTGGGTTGATTGTACCGCTGTTTTCACATTGAAGAATTACTTACATGATATTAGACTTTTATACTGTATTCCCTTATATTACTGATCTACATATAGTTCAGTACTTAGGTTTCCTAAATTGAGAAAAGTTAACCAATGAAACCTATAGAAATGTATGAATGAATGAATACGTTGCATGAAAGACTATCTCCTTCCTTCCCCCGGGCAGTGTCGGCCATGTTGGAGAGTGAGAGCATCCCCAGCCTGGCGGGAGTAAAGCCCATGGGTTACAGGAACCGCTCCTCCAGTATGGACGGGGAGGGCCCAGGGAGCTACACCCTGGAGGCCCTGATCAAACAGCTGGGCCAGTTCCACGGTGTGATGGGCGAGCATGGCCTGGACCCAGAGATAGCAAGCCAGGTGGTCCGGCAACTGTTCTACAGCATCAACGCTATCACCCTCAACAACCTGCTGCTCAGGAAAGACGTCTGCTCCTGGAGCACTGGCATGCAGCTCAGGTATGTTTACATATATACAGAACCTTGCTGGGGATGTTCTATATTACTAGGGCCTGACCAGGAAAAACTCCAGGTTCTTAAAGGGAAACTCTACCCAAAAGCTAAATTTTGGTATTTGTTTCATTAGTCCACTGTTGATACAGTCCCAAAATGTTTTGCATGTCAGCAATTTAGTTTTCAAGATATTGGACTTTCAAGAACGAAAGTGTCACTGGCCACATCATCATGATGATGCAAAATGGGACTATGAACAGTGGACTAATGAAAAAAATACCAAAAGAGTTTCCCTTTAACGGTACATACAGTATTGCTGAGAGGAGAGGAGCACTGGTACAGAGAGGGAAAATAACTGTAGCTCATTACAGTAGCATAAGGGATTTGATGAAGGCTATTCACTGAAGAGGTGGGTCTATACTAAGTGTGTTTCACTGTGATTGGGCAGGTACAACATCAGTCAGATGGAGGAGTGGCTGAGGGGGAAGAACCTTCACCAGAGCGGGGCGGTGGTTAACATAGAGCCCGTTATCCAGGCCGCCCAGCTGCTGCAGGTCAAGAAGAAGACGTCCCAGGACGCCGAGGCCATCTGCTCCCTGTGCACTGTTCTCACAATGCAACAGGTACACTTAAACACCTGTTACACAAACCTGTCACACATCACCAATCCTACAGCATCCAGCACACAGAGCTCCACTCACAACTCTGACTATGCCTCAACGTTCACAGGAAGAGTATTAACCAGTGTCTTATTTGTGGTACAGATCGTGAAAATTCTCAACCTCTACACCCCGCTCAACGAGTTTGAGGAAAGAGTCACTGTGTCCTTTATCCGAAACATCCAGGTAACGATACTTCATCTATTTAATCAGTTATTTTCGGTCAATTTTTATATTTATTCTTTTAAATATATTTTTCCACCAAATGTTGTCTATCTTGTTGTTCTCAGAATCGTCTGCAGGAGAGGAATGATGTCCCAAGGCTCCTGGTGGACACCAAGCACACCTTCCCTGTCCTGTTCCCCTACACCCCTTCCGCCCTCAGCCTGGAGACCCTGCACATCCCTGCCAACCTAAGCCTAGACTTCCTCACTCGAGTCTGAGGCTTCGGCGAGGCCTACCACAGGCCTGGTTCTTAGCAAAGAAGAGTAGAGCCCAACAGAGGGCCCTCTAACCTGGGTAACTTACTTCCAGCTGTTGATCTCAACAGCAGAGGGCGACAAGACTACAGCACTCAATGGAAGGCAAAGAACCTTCCAACTGACCAACAATGGAGGCTGTCAAGTCTCTGTCTGTGTACATACAGCAGAATGTGTCTGTTATCAAGTCATCCTTTATACCTGTCCATAACTGCAGCTTCCCTTGGTGTCTTCTCCATTGGACTATTGAGATGCTGTGCTTCAATGATTAACCATCAGCTCTGTCCCATCCAGTCATTTATTTTATTCACTGTAAGAAGTCTTTATGGTGAGCCCACTGTAATTAATTCCTCTCACAGATTAATTGAATCTGTGTAAATGTGTGCTCTCACACTTCCATTGACAAAGCATTAATTCCCAGTTAGCCACTCTGCCTTGTTCTACCGTGTCAGCCTCTGTCTTCCTCATGATGAGTTAAATCTCTATGTTCTCAGCCTTACTCCTCTCTAGGAGCAGACAGGAGCAGCACTGCATTGCAGTGGCTCTGTTTGTGACTCACACTGCACAGCCCTGTAGCTCTTCTGCTCTCTATCCTTCCTACGCCTTGAGGAATCCTCAGTCTTCTGAGGCTCAACTTTTATTTGGTATCTCACATAAATAGCTGTTTCTTCTGTGTTCAGATAAGAGCACACAGTCTCCTGCTACACTACATGGTCCAGGAAGTCCGAAGCGCTCAACAGAGAGATGTGTTGTTTGTTTTTACTCTGAATTAAATTTAACTGACTCTGCCATCTCATTGAAATGTTCGGTATCATCTCAGAATAAGGAGAAACAAAGCCAAGCTTTATGTAAGTGAGGATTAAGTCCGATAGATGCATGTGTCGGTGAAGTTGAGTAGAGAGAAAGTGCATTTTAAAATGGGACTAGAGAGGTGCAATACATGAGACACTGAGTGTCCTGTGCAGAGTAAGGTAACAGCAATTCCAGCAGGACAGTCTTAGCCTGGTTCCAGATCTGTTTGTGCTGTCTTGCCAACTCCTTCATGGCATGGCGATGACTGGCAGGAGATGGTAAAACGGCACCAACAGATCTGTGGCCATGCTAGGACAGTCTGCTGCAGGACAGAGGGATTCAATGGAAGTGAGAGACTGTTTGTTAGTAAGTGAGACCAGAGAAAATGAGAACTGCCACCAGACGGGTAGAGGAAGAGCCACCCAGCTATCATACACTACTGATGAGAGAGGACCAATGAAAGTTCACAGTACATTTTGATCCTAAGTAATCGAGAGCGGCATTTGTCTGATTTCTCAAAGGAAGTCTTCTTTGTTGCCATTTCCTTGGACTGCCGTTACAGTTGTGAAGAAAAGAGTATGTGGAAGGTAACTTCATTATGATACTCCGATAGCACTTTATCTAATAAAAGATAATGTCTGCAACTCCACTGTGTTGCCGCTCCGTTCTGCCAATCCTATTGGATAGAAAACACTAATACTGATGTTGCTCCTCTGTGGAGTTGTACGCGCCTTTTCAAATCACAGAACCATTAGCGAGCATTTCCCCTAGCCTACGTTCAGAGATATCAGAGCAGCTTTTACTAGAGCAAAGCCTGTGTGTGAAAGGTCTCTAGCTACTAACAATGCCAATAATGTGTACAGGAGCATCCCTGATTCACCTTGTGTTTTGTTTGGAATATGTTAATGTGGTCTGTTTCGTTTTGAATACAGTTGAGTTTTTTATGGTAAAGCAGGACAGAGTTTATGGTAAATCAGGACAGAGTTTATGGTAAAGCAGGACAGAGTTTATGGTAAAGCAGGACAGAGTTTATGGTAAAGAAGGACAGAGTTTATGGTAAAGCAGGACAGAGTTTATGGTAAAGCAGGACAGAGTTTTTCTAACGCTACTACTCGCCCATTTTGAGTGTAATTCCTTTTCAGACTCTTGTGGGACATTATAGCAGAGTTTCAGAGACTGTTGTGGGACATTATAGCAGAGTTTCAGACTCTCTTGTGGGACATTATAGCAGAGTTTCAGAGACTGTTGTGGGACATTATAGCAGAGTTTCAGAGACTCTTGTGGGACATTATAGCAGAGTTTCAGAGACTGTTGTGGGACATTAGCAGAATTTCAGAGACTCTTGTGGGACATTATAGCAGAGTTTCAGAGACTCTTGTGGGACATTATAGCAGAGAGTTTCAGAGACTCTTGTGGGACATTATAGCAGAGTTTCAGAGACTCTTGTGGGACATTATAGCAGAGAGTTTCAGAGACTCTTGTGGGACATTATAGCAGAGTTTCAGAGACTCTTGTGGGACATTATAGCAGAGAGTTTCAGAGACTCTTGTGGGACATTGTAGAGAGTTTCAGACGCAGGTTCCGATAACACCCTCTCTGCTGCTCTCTTCTGTCAGTTATAAAGAATTTGGTATTGCTTATGTTAAGACTGGAAGAGTAATGCCGAAACGTTGGTGGTTTACCCACAACATTACTGGGAGCTTGTATATAGAGTACAACTCACTTTATTTTCATAGCCTACAGCTTACTCGCCGTTCGTCAGCACCTCTACACAACATTTTTCTGGGTATGCGCCAACTCATGCTTTTTTATACGACTGGAAGTTCACCACTTTTCACTGCATTTCACTTTATGTCAAAACTCACGATCATATACCCATTATATCATGACGCCATACACAGAATAATATATTTCACAGGGGCCACACCCCCAGAGAGGCCTTTAGTCTACAGTTTGAGAAATGTATACATTGTTTGTGTTTTGTATGTCATAAGTTTCATTGCTGAAATAGAACAGGAGTAAAGGAACTGGTGAGTGATTAGAGTATGGTTGCCAGCGTTCATCAATTGATATGTTGTCCTTAATTGAAGCGCTTTCTAAAGCAGTGGTCTTACTTGTCCTAAAGTTTATTGTTGATATGTTTTATGGAAGTGTGTTGGTTGTATGCAGAATAGTACATCTTGTACAATATCAATTTGGTGACATGGACACATTTATTATGCCAACATCTCGTTGAATGATCGAGGATTGCGAATGATGTTTTTATGTACTTAAATGAATAGATTTTAGATTAAGCATTGAAAGCGCACAATGATCTGGTTTTGTGGATGAGTAAATAATAAGTAAATCCATCAGCCAATGGTTTGTATGGTCGGGGTGAGGTACAGTTTTCCTCTTATATCTCTATAATTGCAAAACATATTTAGTCAATGGGTAAAAATAATATACAGTTGAAAATACAGTGTATTGACTCAGTTTGAACAAAATGTAACCTCACAATCTTTCTTAGAAAAATTGTTGTACAAAAGGTCAAATAAAAAAGAGAACATGTTGAATACATGTTTTGTGTTGTGAATTATGTACTGAAAATACTTTGGGGGTTTTGATATAATACCAAAAACCAACGTCAGATGTGATGACAGAATTGCATTAGCAGCTGTGTGGAGTTCCCCTGGGGAAGTTTTAAACTACTCAGAAGGACAGCTCACTCTGTCCTAAAGACCTGTGAGTATACTTTAATAGCACTGTATAGGCACGGCAGCATGGTGCTCCTGCATCTACTCTTAGCTAATAGCACAACTACAGATGGGGAAGGTGAACCACAGCAGTACCCTGCCTCTACATCCTTCCATTTATTACCCTCACCACCACCCACAGCCCTGCAACCACCTGGCATCTGTGGGTATTGGTAGAATGGTTCCTTCCCGGTTTCTCTCTCTCCTCCTCTCTCACACACACCTTCATTACACGCAAACATGGATACACACACACACACACACACACACAGAGCGGTGTGTGGAAGGCTTTGTGAATGTGGCTCTTGGTTGTTTCCCATGGTAGCAGACTGTTGGTTGTTTCCCATGGTAACAGACTGTTGGTTGTGTCTCTACTGTACCTGAGCAGCTGCCACTGAATGGCTGTCTCTCTATCTCAGGTGTCCGTGGTTACCCTTCAGTCTCAGGTTGTTGGTAACTGTTCTCAGAACAGGCTGATCAGTGAGGAAATGATAGCTAGTGTTGCATGGCTTTATTTGGTTTAGTTTTTAAATATATATATTTTAAGTATTTTGTATGTTTAGTGGATAGAGAGCGATAGACGTGAGAGTTAGGAGAGAGAATGTACCGTTCCCAAGCTGGGAACGGTACATCGTACATGTACTCCAGAGGCAGTGGCTTGACCGCTAGAACACACCAGGCAAGTTTACATTTTTGTTTGACAGTAAGGCTGACACAGACAGGTTGATCTTTATTGAAAGAACCAGCAACATTTTCTCTGTCTAATATCTGGCACTCTTATCACAAACTACAGTTCCACAGATTCAGGGTTTTAGGTAGATGAAAGTGTCTTACACGATTATGTTGCCAAATTGGCCTTTACAAACCACGCATGGTTCCTCTTTGACTCTCAGGGGATGACCCAGTATCTCGATGCTCAGCCTGCACCAAAAACCTCAAGAGAACACCATCTCATCTGATTAAGATTAGAACAGGCTAGAAACGTTGTGAGATGACGACATTCACTCTACATTCTGAATGTTGAACACGTTTACAGAGTGACGTAAGGAAGGGGATTTCTTGACCAACTAGTCAAAAGATATGCAGGTGATGCAAGATTATGTGCCATGGAAAGTGTGGACCTACAGATGTAGGATATTAATTTGACCACCCTGTTGCAAAATAACTTTCCTGCAATGCAGTAAATGTAAAACTTGTAGAGTATTTGAGGTGTAGCCTTTTACACTCGTACCCGTATACGGTTGAAAATGGAAGATTTGCACCTAAATTGGAGCGTAGTGGCTCTACAATAACATGCTGTACACGACGTCATAGCTCTGGCTCTGCGCTTCACAGTGCTGTATGGGTTTTGACTGACAGCTGTTCTGAACTTGAGCACCGTGCGCGACCCGAAGTTGCCCCCATCCCTCCCGCTAATTGGGCAACTTTTGCAAATGTTTTGTTGTCTGAATGAGGGCAATGCTGTCAATTAAGAGGACTCTGTATTTTAAAAGATGAGATGTTTAGGATTATAATAAATACTGCTTTGATGTCATACAAGCAAAGCCAAACACCCGTGAGTCCAAATGAGCACTTCACATTTCCAAATAATAAAACTCATTTCATATACAGTGTCAACGTTTATGATCAATATATTTGATGTACAGTTACAAGATGACATATCATCATACCCTGGGTTGTTCTGAACAGAATGAAAGAAAATTTGCCGTGGCACACGCACCTGAATGCACTCATGACTCCAAAATTATGATCTGTTTCTCTGAATTGACATGTGAAAGCCTAACACTGTAAGATCGTATTTTATAACTTAGCTAGTCATGTTGTAGCTCAGTTGGTAGAGCATGGCGCTTGCAACGGCAGGGTTGTGGGTTTGATTCCTACGGGGGGCCAGTATGAAAAAAAGATGTATGCACTCACTAACTGTAAGTCGCTCTGGATAAGAGCGTCTGCGATAGACTAAAATGTTTACAAAAATTGGCAATAGAACAAGCTTTCAATTCATGCCCACCTGATCCAGATTGTGATTTATAATGGACTGTTTTTGTATTGTGTAAACAACAACAGTAATTGTGTGATGGCGAGGGATGCAGGGTTGTGTTCCAAACAAAGCAAAAGTGTGATTGCGCCTCAACAGCACAGCAAAGGGAGCTCAAAAAAGTACCTTATAGTTGAAGACTCTTCTTTGAGACATAAAAGTGCATTGAAATTGCTTAGGAATTGTTCCGACCTTGGAGAGGTGATTGGCCACTTGGAGACACCAGTTAGTCCTCTCACTCAAACCCTTGTCATTTTTTTGTCTTATTTTTGACCTACCCCACATTTTCCAGGAATAGTCTTATCATGTTAATGAATGTATCCAGAGTATTTTCACATTTCGTTATCAACAAATGTGGTGAAAAATACAGTACATGTAAAATGCACATAAAATCTACAGTGTAGTGTTTGGATTCAGTCTTGTGTCAGGTAAACTGTTGTGTATGT